TATATATATTATGTATTATATATAATATATTGTATATTATATTTAATATAATATATATATATATATGTATATGCGTAACTATGCGTAGTAATTATGCGTTTGTTTGAGTATATGTAGCTAGCAGCACTTAGCTCACCCCCACTTCGGAATGGACGGATTGTAGAATAGGGCACAAGGCGGGCCCCGAGTCATAAGGTGGTTTTTAACCCGACCCCCATTAACTTATAGTTATATCATATATCTACCATAGCCCATAGTTAGTACATCTAGTAATATTTTTCCAATTTCAGGGTGGCTCCTGAATTTGGGCTCCAAGAATTGAGAAAAACCCTCTATTTGGGGGACGAATTTTCACAGCAGATATGGTTCAAACAAGGGTTATGGACCCATAAAATCCTGTTCACTCTTAGAATCTATAGCACCCAAAACGATAGAAAAACAACCAATCTCACTAAAACAGGGGTTCAAAGTTCAATCCGACTTTTTTTGCTGTTAGGTTTGGATTACCTTGCGGCCAACCTCCTCCATGTCCCCACGCGCGCGACCTGGCCGGAGGAAGCCGAGGTCACCCAAATTGTGTGGGTTAACATCTACCCACTAAGGATCCCAACTGCACCCCGTAAAAAGTGCAAAAAAAATCAACCAGTATCAACAAAATTGTATTTTTTGTGAGTTTAGTGAAATGTTGTTTTTGTATTTTTGGTGATGTTTTTTCCCGAATTGAACAGAACACATTTGGGATGCAGCACTGCAAATCTGCCTCGAGCGGGTGGACTGGCCTTGAGAGCTCGGCAGAACGGCAAAACGTACCCATGTTTTTGAGGTGGGGGCCGTTTAAAAAGGGAAAACAAGATGAAGCCCACGAACCCGAATGCTCACACGTATGTTAATGGCACAGATGTCAAAACACATGGTTCTGCAGTCACGCACAATACCTTTCTGCAATAGTTGATTTGAACAGTCTTGTGCATGTTTCCCTTGTTACCAGTCTGCAGTGTGGAGTGGAAAGTGTAGAGTGTGGAGTGTGGAGTGTGAAGTAAGGAGTGTGGAGTGTAAAGTGTGGAGTGGGGAGTGTAGAATGCGTAAAGTGTAGAATGCGGAGTGTAAAGTGTAGAGTGTGGAGTATGGAGTGTAAAGTGTAGAGTGTGGAGTGTAGAGTGTGGAGTGTGGAGTGTAGAGTGCGGAGGTTAAAGTGCAAAGTGTGGAGTGTGCAGTGTAAAGTGAGGAGTGTAAAGTGTTTCGTGAGGAGTGTGGGGTGTAAAGTGAGGAGTGTAAAGTGTGGAGTGAGGAGTGTGGAGTTTGTAAATTGTAGAGTGCGAAGTCTAGAGTGTAAAGTGTAGAGTGTAAAGCGTAGAATGTGGAGTGTAGAGTGTAGCGTGTGGAGTGTGGAGTGGAAAGTGTAGAGTGTGGTGTGTAGAGTGTGGAGTGTGGAGTGTAAAGTGTGGAGTGTAGAGTGTGGAGTGTAAAGTGTAGAGTGTGGAGAGTAGAGTGTAAAGTGTGGAGTGTAAAGTGTGGAGTGAGGAGTGTAAAGTGGAAAGCGTGGAGTGTAAAGTGTGGAGTGTAGAGTGTATAGTGTAGAGTGTAAAGTGTAGAGTGTGGAGTGCGGAGTGTAAAGTGAAGAGTGCAAAGTATAGAGTGTGGAGTGTAAAGTGTGGAGTGTAAAATGTGGAGTGAGGAGTGTAAAGTGCGGAGTGTGGAGCGTCATGCGTGGAGTGTGGAGTGTGGAGTGTGAAGTGCGGAGTGTAAAGTAAGCAGTGTGGAGTGTAAAGTGTGGAGTGAGGAGCGTAGTGTGGAGTGTGGAGTGTAAAGTGTGGAGTGTAAAGTGTGGAGTGTGGAGCGTAAAGTGTAGAGTCTAAAGTGGAAAGTGTAGAGTGTGGTGTGTAGAGTATGGAGTGTGGAGTGTAAAGTGAGGAGTGTAAAGCGTGGAGTGTGGAGCGAGGAGTGTGAAGTATAAAGTGTGGAGAGTGGAGTGCACAGTAAAGTGTGGAGTGTGGAGTGCGGAGTGTGGAGTGGAAAGTGTAGAGTGTGGAGTGTGGAGTGTAGAGTGTAAAGTGGGGAGTGTGGAGTGTAGAGTGTGGAGTCTGGAGTGGAAAGTGTAAAGTGTGGAGTGTGGAGTGTAAAGTGTAGAGTGTGGAGTGTGGAGTGGAAAGTGTAGAGCGTGGTGTGTAGAGTGTGGAGTGTGGAGTGTAAAATGTAAAGTGTGGAGCGTAGAGTGTAGAGTGTAGAGTGTGGAGTGTGGAGTGTAGAGTGTAAAGTGTAAAGTGTAGAGTGTAAAGTGTAGAGTGTGGAGTGTAAAGTGAAGAGTGCAAAGTATAGAGTGTGGAGTGTAAAGTGTGGAGTGTAAAGTGTGGAGTGAGGAGTGTAAAGTGTGGAGTGTGGAGTGTGAAGTGCGGAATGTAAAGTAAGCAGTGTGGAGTGTAAAGTGTGGAGTGAGGAGCGTAGTGTGGAGTGTGGAGTGTAAAGTGAGGAGTGTGGAGTGTGGAGTGGAAAGTGTGGAGTGTGAAGTGTGAAGTGTAAAGTAAGGAGTGTTTAGTGTAAAGTGTGGAGTGTGGAGTGTAAAGTGTAGAGTGTGGAGTGTGGAGTGTAAAGTGCAAAGTGTAAAGTGTGGAGTGTAAAGTGTAGAGTGTGGAGTCTAAAGTGTAAATTGTGGAGTGTGGAGTGTAAAGTGTAGAGTGTGGAGTGCGGAGCTTCCCCCATGGACACGGCGACGCCAGAGACTCGAGACAAGACACGTGGATGCAGAAAAACCAGCATTTCGTACCAGACTTCCTCCAATTTTGACATTTTCGACACATTATCAAACAGGTTGGAATGTCACAAAGTGCCACGCCTGCCACGCAAAACGACATGACAACCTGCTTGGACACATTCGAATGAGAGGTTTTCCAGCTTCCCCCATAGACACGGCGAAGCCACGGGAAAACCAGAGACTCGAGACGAGACACGTGGGAGCACCAAAACGAGCATTTCGTGCGAGACGTCCTCCAATTTCACACTTTGTAGCTTCAAAATCGACGTTTTCCTACGAGTTTTCCTTAGAACCTGAAAATTTGCAACCTCAAAATCGATGTTTCGTGCGAGGCTTCCGTCAATTTTCAGCACATCGCGCCTGCCACGGAATTTGCACCTTGTCGCCACTTGACGCAGCCCTGCCAATGCGATTTGTAAAAAACACGCAACACGACACGTCCAAAGTGCTGCGCATGCCACGAAAAATGACGATGGACACGTCGAAAGTGCTGCGCCTGCCACGAAAAATGCAACACATCTTCTGAAAACGTCGCGAAAGTAGTGCGCTTGCCACACAAAACGACTTTCGACACGTTACAAAACACGTCTGTCACGAAGTGCCACGCCTGCCACGCGAAACGAAGCAACGAGACGTCTGAAACCTCCAAGAATGACCACCTCTACAGAACTTACCATAGGCACGGCCATACGGTCCTCACACGAACGGTTGCGGACGGTTGCGAACGGTTGCGACCGTGAACGCAACGTCTAGCGAACACACCCTCAACCCCCAGACCCCCAGAGTGAAACGGGAACCCTTGCTACGCATTCGGGAAAAAGGAAAAAAAACAAAATCAACAAGTTTGTCCAAGTTGAAGGTGTCCGATTTTTGAACAAACCCATGTTTTCTTGAGTTCGATGCTGTTCAACGCGGCTCGGTTTCCCCCATCTGGGACCCCAGCAGAGCGTGCACGACGCTCCAAGCGGCCCAACTGGAAGCCGCTGGCCCTGGTGGCGAACCCTGGGATCTTCCTGAGCAACTGCCATGCAGTTTTTTGGTTTACCTGGTATGTTGTCTTATGTTATGTTGCGTAATGTGATGTGGTGTTGTCTTATGTTATGTTATTCTATGTTATTCTATGTTGTTCGATGTTATTCTATGTTATTGTATGTTATTTTATGTTGTGTTATGTTGTGTGATGTTACCTGATGTTATTTTGTGTTTTGTATGGTATGTGAAGTTTTGTCACGTTGCATGATGTTGTGTTATGTCATGTTATTCTATGTTGTTCGATGTTGTTCTATGTTATTGTATGTTATTCTATGTTGTGTTATGTTGTGTGATGTTGCGTGATGTTATTTGGGTTTTGTGATGGTATGGGATGTTTTGATGTTATGTGACATCAAAGGATGTCATGGTATGTTATGTTATATTATGTTGTGTATGTGATATGGTGTGATGTCATGTGATGTTAATTTATGTGGTGTTGTGTTATGTGAATTCATGTTATCCCATGTTATTTTATGTTGTGTTTTGTTGTGTTGCGTGATGTTATTTTGTGTTTTGTGTGGTACGTGGAGTTTTGTCACGTTACATGATGTTGTGTGATATTTTGCTATGTTATGGTATGTAATGGTATGTTATGTTATCTTTTGCTGTGTCGGGTCAAGTTCGGAGGTGTTATGTTATGCTTTGGTTCGTTATATTATATATTATGTTTTGTTTGTTTTGCTATGTCAAGTGATGTAGTGTTATGTTGCATTTTGTTTTCTGATGTTAGATTTTGCTGGTTTCTGGCATGTTATGTTATGTGATGTTATGTAATGTTTTGTTATGTTATTGGATGCGATGTTGTGTCATATTTTGTGATGTTGTGCTATGTTCTGTTTTGTGATGTGATGTTTTTTGTATGCATTTATAGTTTTGCACTTGGCTGTCTGCACATACCACGATATCTTCACTAAATGCTGCAAGCGTCCAACCCGAAGGCCGCGATGATTGAACACTCATCAAACTGACAATGTCACGATGCCGAGGTCCTTTTGGTGAAAGGCAAAGACACCCTCTGCTGCCTTTCTGAATTTCATTATCGTTCACAGGATTTATTTTCAACCATCCCCGATGGCTTCCCTCCGGTACTCACACCTGGTTTAAATTCTCCCTTGTGTTTTCTTAATATATGTTATTTCTTTTTTTCATCTTATTATCTTATCATATCTGTTTTGAAAAGCCACAAGTTAACCCCTTCAAATGCCAGAGGCGAACCCTGGGCGGGAGGATGGTGATCACCCTGTGGCCACCTGCGCACAGATGCGCAACTTGATGCAGCTAATGACAACGTTAACAACGCGTGTAGTTGCCAGGCCTGGCTTTGCTTGCACCACTGCAAACCAGAATGCTACAAGTGGCAAACGGCCAAAACAACCAAGGGCAGTCCTCCGCGTATGAGATTTGAAAGCTATCTTTGCAATGAATATCCGCTAGAGCGACGACGCAGGGGTTCTCCGCCACGTGCTGCCAGATGTCCTTGGCAGTGGTGCCCTTTGGAGGCAAGCAGACCTTGAGCTCCGCAGCACCCCGAAAAAGGCAGCCTGCAGGATCGCGCGCTGCCCCTTGAATTTCTATGGTTGTGACCTTTGTTCACGCTTCTTCCTGACCAAATCACCGGCCTGTTGGGCAGTGCCTCCCGGAGAAGCGGCTGCCAACAGTATATGGCAGAACATTGGCCTCGAATCACAACGCGCGTTTCCGAAGCCAGTAAGTTAGTAGCACTCAGCAAGAACCACTGCCAAGGTAGGTGCTGCGCACGCCTGATATCCCTTCATCTGGGCATCAGAATCCTGGATGCTAACAGCTACATTGCTGAATGACATGCTCATGGGCTGCATCTCGATGTTGTGCTCTGTCCCCTCCATCGCAAGGTCTTGCTGTTTCTGAATCCACACCATCTTTGAAGCCTCATCGAACATGCTCCATGAGTGCCGAAAATTTACCTTTTTCATCACCCTTATATCAACTGCTCCACGGGCGCATGGCCGAACCACGAGGATCCCAACCATATGTTGGCGGGACCTCCACAGGTGGCATGTAGTGGCTCAAAGGCATTTGCTCCAACAGCCTGGCGTGCATCCAGGCGGATGCTTTGTCATATGATATCTGTCAACCTTTGTTTGCCTACCAAGGTGGGTCAACACTCACTGAACTGCGGCTGCATCGCTGTATGCCACCATTGTGTGTGTGTGTGCGTGCGCATGCTGGTGAGTGCAAGCGCACATTGTCGGGGAAATGGGGCATTTCTGAAACTTTGTTTTGTGTGTGCTTTTCCACGTTTTCTTTCTTTCAGCTTTCCCACCGCTGACACCAAGCCCTCTACCAAATACACATCACCGCGTACCAGCTGAAACAAACAAACACTCCCAAGTCCTCCAGCAAAATCCAGCGCCGAATCGTCAAAGATGTTCGTGACGAATTGTTTCCCTTCTGTTTGGTGTCTAACCACAGGACTCTCGAAAACTTCTAAAAGCACCGCCATGTGTGAAAATGCGTGACGTTTTTTATCTGTTGCAAATCATCGGTTGCTGAACGATCTTCGGAGAAACCGCCTTGTTGTTTTTGTAGGCCAAGTCGACAAAGATGTCGGTGGTAGAGAGATGGAATGAATCAATTGGCATTCGGCTCAAACGCTCAAGACAAAAATGCAAGACTCAAACTTCAAAACGCATTTGTTTTTGCACCTTTCTCAACGTACAGAACATACAGAATTTGTCTTTGTCAGATAGAATCTCTCTTGAACCAATTGTTTCCCTTCTGTTGGCGTCTAACCACAGGACTATCAAAAACTTCCAAAAACACCGTCATGTGTGAAAATGCGTGACGTTTGTTTTTATCTGTCGCAGTTCATCGGGTTGCTGAATAATCTTCGGGGAAACCTATCCAGCGCTGCCTCACAAAGCTTCTGCAACAATGCCCGGGGGTGCCGAGCAGCGAAGATAGACCGCCAAGAGCAAGCCTCCGTGCCGGCCCCAGAAGACCTGCCAGGCAGCAAAGATGCAGCATGTCCGACCGGTATGTTGGGCATGCACACCATTGGATGCAAGTCCTCCAGGCGTGCTTGGGGATGGGGACCACAGCCTGCATCCAATTGAAATGGATTGGCAGGGTTCAGAGCACAATCTTGTCGCCGGGGATATCCTCGTCGAGTAGCGCTCGCCCGTGTCATAGAAAATGACGCCCCGCGTTGGAAGCGACTGTGTTTGGAGTGCTAAACTTCGATGCAATTGTGTGACGCTGTGCCTGCAAGGATGGAAGCTTGTTGCCATCCTCTCCCGTTGAGGGTCCCGACACTCCTCTAAGTTGGGATTAAGCCCTCTTCTTCTTTCCTCAAGCGTAGTTTGTTGTTGAACCTGTTTCCTCTTTCCTGTTGTGTTTGTGGTCTTTTGTTATATATTGGGCTGCTACCCAAGTGCTCCTTGTTGTTGTTTGTTGGAGCTCACCTGGATGCTTCCAGGATCACTGCTCCGCTATGTGTTGTCATTTAACAATCAATATCTATATATATATATATATATATTGAGTATTATATATTAATTATATGTTGTTCTTGTACCACCTCCACCGGGCCGCCGGGCGCAATGAGATTCTCATCTCCCCGGCGATGGGGCCTTTGAAGTTCATAATCCACTTGGAGAACCCATTGGTTAATAGGAGTTAATGGTGGTTAGTAGTGGTTAATGGTAAATTAATGGTAAGTTAATGGTGAATGAATGGTGATTAACACTGATTGATAGTGATTAGCAGTGATTAATAGTGATTACTGTAATAGTGGTTAATAGTCATTGATAGTGATTAATAATGGCTAATAATGGTTCATAAGCATATATGGGGGTTTCCATAAATAGGGATACCCTCCAACTGGATGGTTTATAATGTAAAATCCCAATCAAAATGGGTGATTTGGGGGCAATATCCATATATTATATATAATTAACATATAACTGTGTTCTCTTTTATTGCTTAGCCCTTTAAACTCACTAAGACCGCATGCTACGGTCTTAGCCTACACGGACTGCAGAGGTAGCCTATGCAGATTTTTTGTTAGTTCGGAGATGAAACAAAAGCCCAGAGTAGTTGGGGAATATCATAATTCCTGAACTGGGAATCCCACTCCCGAAGGATCAGAAAAAACGAATCGTGGTTGTGATCGTAACTCTGGTGATGGGAAGTTCCTGTTTCCTGGATTCTCCTACATATAAATGAGTGAACTAACTTTGCTTAGGATAAGCGAACTTTACGATTCCTGGGATGATCCTCCAAGTGCTACGCCTGTTTGTTCCAAATTGGGGGACGTTGAAATTGGAAATCCCCGAAGTAGCCTGGAGGTTTAGTTCGCTGGGAAAATCATCGAACTAAATGGGACTTTCCAGAAATCCATCATTGGTAGCCATGGTGGTGTTCCAGTTCGTTTTCCGTAACAGTTTACCAGAGGGAGTTGCATCCAGATGATCAGATTGACCATATATGTTACAATGTATGCCTATATAAGTCTATATATTTATACATATAGCGTATTATATATGTATAGGGATATGTATATGTACATGGATATGTATACGTATCTGGATCTGTATTTGGATATGTATATATATATACACGTATCTATGTACTCGCCGTATACATAATTATAAATACATGTACATGTATGTGTAAATATATGTTTTTGAGTTGCGGACATGCGCCTCTAGTCACCTACATGTAGACTTCGACTGCTGCCCTTGAAGCCCGTGAAAATCTCCGAGGAAGGGGCCAAACCATGGATTCAGAAGCACCTGCCAAAAGCCCAGTTGCAAGATGTCGCAGGATCGGCTTGGTCAATCTTACCATTTTTATGGCTATTCAAACCAATCCTGGGTGATTGGCCTGTACTGACCTATACCAGTCCATTGCGTGCTTCAACATTGCGGATATCCCATCACCCCTATACGTGACAACTGCGACTCCAACTGGAAAATCATATGACGATAGCCTCTGGTAGTCACATGACATGGAAATCATCCATTGAATGGCTCGGAAATTCGCCATGTTCGATGACACTTGAGCAGTCAAAGGTCCCCTCTGTCGTCCCTGTGAAAAACGCCTGGTTCAGAACGGAAGTCCCGGTGAAAATGGATGATATGTCCCAATTCATCTTGCTTAGTATAATCCCCATATAATCATCGACCAACCATCATCAAAATCAATTATTATATCCTTATATGTTTGATGGTTAAGCTCCCATAAAACCCCCAATTTATGGGTATGGGGTCAAAAACGAGTAGCCCAATTTATGTTTGGATACTAATAAAGTTACTAAACCTAGACTTAGATCTGTGGTTTCCCAAGTACCAAAAGACCAAAGGATTAGTTTCTACCCATCTAAGATTGACCTTCAAATGATGACCTAAGCTGACCAACGCAGCGCTCACCTGGTGTTTGTGTCGCAGCACTTCCATCAGGGCTGCGATCCCTGACGAGGAGCAAGGGTTCGCATCATCATGAATCATGTGGTAAACCCTAATCATTGTGTCATTATGTACGGGAATATACATATATACTTACTATGTAACAATGTATGTGTATATTATCTATGTGTTATCACATATATATATATATATATATTCATGTATTCATGTGTGTGTGTATTAATGTGGGATTCACCCAATGCCATAAACCTGGGATTCCATCCCGACACATTCAAGGTGTGTTCAAATCGTTTTCAAGGCCGAGAGCCCAAATCCACCCATGAATCCTGGGTTAAGATTGGATACCCCACATGAAATCGTAGATAGTTTGATGATTCAGATAACTGACGTCAAAAAATATCCCAGTTCATTTGCGCCCAAGAACATCTCCCAGCATATTCCTTTTGTGCTCCAAATGATTCACATGCAAGTTGACTCACTTGTGGTGCCTTTCTGCTTGCTATGCTTCATTGACATGTTCCCCCTGTTGGCATATATCATTATATATTCAGATATGATGGTTAAAAAGGCAATTGTTTATCCTCTGGTACTTTAACAAAGTTGCTATGGAAGCCATGGCCATTTAGTTCAATGATTAAAAATTGTTTCCATTTATATAGGTCAATGATTTGTTCCCTATGATAAACGTGGAAGTGCTAAACACAAAACCTTACGTTTGATATAGAAGTTGTATAGTCTAGTTCCTTTTTGGGGGGGAACTATGTTAAAGATAGGGGATGTACAACAACCAGCAGAGGGTGTACAGCTATGTTAATACCGCCACCAGAGGGTCTTGATGAAATTTACAACAATAATGTAAACCACAGGTCTTCAAAAAACCATCTATACCATCTATGCCGTCTATGCCATCAATTTCTATGGGCTTTACCTCAAATTCCCAGAGGGCACCCAAAAATACTGATCATCCAAGTCATGAATGACCATTTAGCTTAGTATAGGTTGACAACCATGGTGACGACTGGGGGATCCATATTCAAAAGAACACCCCAAAGGTAGTTGGATGTGTCATCTCCAACGGCTTTTGAAAACGTGATGTGGAGATGACACATCCAACCGCCAATGGCAAGGCTCAATACCCTGGTACCCGGATCCCAGGTACCCAAAAAATAGCTGAACAATGGTTATTCCCCCATCATAATCTTCTAATAATAAATGTTGACCTATCCCCAATGTTATAACTAACCCCCATTGACCTATGAAAAGTGGTAGATGGTCCACCAACAAAACTAAAAAACAAAGTCCCCACCTGAGCACGCTGATGATCTCTCCCACTTTGAGGCCCCGCAACACGGGGCTGTTACTCCTCCAACGTTTGCAAACATGGAGATCTTCGCAAGGAAATCCAGGAATATCATGGAAAATCTAATGCAAAATTCATAGAAATCCAAACCAAGGGCAGAGGCTGGAGGTTCCTCGGAGGGCAATTGAAGTTCATTGTGTTCCAGTTTGAAAAATGTCATTGTTCACTGTGTTTTACAGTGTTTTGTGTTCTTCCGATGACGTGAGAATATCAGGAATTAGTTCCACATGCGGACAACATATCTGGGATATCTTGTCCCCTGTTTCAATGTTGTTTGGTCTTTTTCAAGTTCATCAACTTAGATCATTTTTGCTTTTCACATTGGAATTGCGTGTCTTTGGGAATTTCAGGTTTCTTTTGATAGACATAAAAATGTCATAATCCACCAGAGAACCATGGGCGAAATGCACATGAGCCTTTTTTCTCTTCACATCCACAAAGCCGTTTTGAAAGCATTTGTAATAACATCTTCAACATAACAACATCTTCAACGTAACAACATCTTCAACATAACAACATCTTGAACATAACAACATCTTGAACGTAACAACATCTTCAACATAACAACATCTTCAACATAACAACATCTTGAACGTAACAGCATATTCAAAGTAACCACATTTTCTGATGACGCAATGCAATGAACATCCCCCCCCCCCCCCCATCTGTATGCAAGAACGATCTTCAACGTAACAACATCTTCTGATGACACAATGCAATGAACGTTATCATCCCCCCCCCACCCCCTCTGTATGCAACACCGATCTTCAACGTACAACATCTTCTGATGACGCTATGCAATGAATGTTAACATCCCCCCCACCCCCCCCCATCTGTATGCAAGAACGACAAAAATATGCATATATCTATCAGAGAGACTGAAGGTTCCTACGTCTTCCGAGGAACCCCCAGCCTCTATATAGAGAGAGAGAGATTTGTCTATGTATATCTATATATATATGTCTATCTATATGTATATATATATATATATGTATATATATATATATATGTATATATATATGTATATATATATATATATATGTATATATATATGTATATATATAATGTGTATATATATATATACATGTGTATATATATATACAAATAGCATCAAATAGCCCATCCGAAAGTTCCACATGTTCCAACTTCTCGATCCAGGTGCCTGCGCCCCGGCACAATCGCCGCCTGCATGAAACAGCAATGCGGCAATCAGAGCCCTGGCTTTGGGACCAAGGGCAACACTTCACGGTCATGATAAACATCGGTTTGATGAAACATGGCCAATGATTTCAATGATCAAATCGATCAAATCCGATGGGGAAAATCAGTGATGTTGAATCCTCATCTTAGTTGAGTTCAGTGATGCTGGGTAGTTGGAGTCAAAAAAACATTGGATACATATTAACGCATACAACGTATAGCTGAGGTTCCTTGTTCATCCAGATCACGATCTTGATATCCTGCAGATATCTCACCAGAGTTTCGTGGTAACCTAGAATCTCAGGTGAGGTTGAGTGATAACAAGAGCAACAGTAATAAATAGTAATACAAATAAAAACAACACAAGCTGATGTTTTTCTTGGAGGTTTCCATCAGACACCGAGCTACAGAGCGAGGCGACAAGGCCCCCGGGGCATCGGACCTAGGCTACGTAGGGCTTTATCGGATGCATCATCTTGGAGATGCTATACATATTCTGTAATGAACAAAGGCATTCAATGGGATTTAATGGGTGATTGTAATCCAGTTGCATGGGATTTCATAGGATTCTATGGTGATTTTCATGGGCAAAATCCCAGGCAAAATCTTGATATTGAAAGGATTTACCCTCTGGTGTCATGAAACATGGCCATGGGAAATCCTCTATCAATGGACATTTTCTTAGACATTTACATGGGAAATCATCCCGAGCTGAGGGATCCGGAGCATCATGGAATCATGGAGATCCGAAGATCTTCAAAATCTTCAAAGTTGGGTTATCTCCAAAATGGATGTTTGATGACTCATGGAGATAACCCATGAATCATGGATGTTTGAGATTGTTTCATGGATGTTTGATGGATTGTTGATGACTCCGGTTGGCTTAGCTCCAAATTTCTTGCCCCGGAGAAATGTGGGTAGAGACGTTCAACACCAAACCCCCATCATATCTAAATCATCTGTCAATGTGACATTTGCACAGTACCCAAGTTCTTCTTCATATTAATCATGAGTTAAACATACTTAAATAATGTTACAAATACAAACTAAAGACATACTTAATGAGTTAAACACATTTAAACATTAGTTATAACTGGTTAGTTTAGTCTCATAATGTTCACAATGAATCAACGTCTCCACGCCAGAGTAGCACTGCACAGGCGGTGAACTTGAAGGATCTCGCCTGGTGGGGATTAACCAATGACTTTAGTGTGGATAAAAACCAAAGGTCATTATCAAAATGTCGGAAAAGTGCAGATATGTTCAGTTTAGAAGTATTGGGCTTGCACCTAACAGTTAGATTTTGACATTGGCTTTGTCTTGGAAAGGCAGATCTAGTTATTTATACATATATACATACATATATGTACGTATATAATCGTATCCATATCCATATATATATATAACCATAGTTATAAGTTATAATTATAACCTATACTGCGGCCCAAAGTATCCGACACCTGTTTTGTTGAGATGAAAGATATCTGTGGTACCCCTCAGCGGCCTGATTCACAGGGCTGCCGCTGCGTCTCAGCTGCAGCCTACAAGCTTTGGCCACCTTGAATTGGAAAATGGTACCCTCTGGTTACTTAACATAGCCATGGAAAATTGCCCATTTATAGATGGTTTACCTATTCAAAATTGTGATTTTCCATGGCTATGTTAGTCATAACCAGATGGTACTTTCATCTAAAGCTCATCCAAATTGTCCAAGTTACGATGTTAGATGTTGATGTCCGAGGATCCCAAGTTCTAATCTATGCAAATGGTTACAATGCGTTCATATCTTTTCGAAGCTGAACCGTCGGAATTTCGCCAGAAATCATTGTTGCGGCCATGCGTCCGCTCCTCTGAGACCACATTTTGTGGCCAAGATTCCACGGATTGGTTCATTGGAGATCTGCCCACAATTTACTCAAAACCAGCAGGGTGTCTTTGTCAATGCGTGCGCCTAGCTACGAAAATGTGGCGAAGTGTGGCTAAGCGCCAGTTCGCCAGTTTACCATCCGTGGGGTTTATGACATTGGCTTTCGACACAAAAGACCCCCAGTCGTGCTTCGTTAATGGGATGCCATAAATGGCAATGGCTTTACCACATGAATGGAATTTTGGTAGCCATCACATCCTGTAATGTCGTTCAAGAGGTGTTCCATCGACATCACTTCCAACGATGACAACAACGTTTGCACCATGAAACATTTTGAGTCATAAATGTTCTGTATTATACATGTATATACTGTATATACTACCTTGATGACAAGAGAAACTATATACAAGATTTTCAGGTCCGGGCGTCTTCAATGTTTTTTGGACACATAGTTACACTTGCCACACCTGGATCGGGCGGAACCTGCCTGCTCTTGTCCTGGTTGAGGGCCAGTTCCGCACGTGCCCAGCCGGATGCCGGGAAGTGCGAGGTAACTCCCGCATAGCCCTGATGGTTCGGGAAATCACCTGCAGCCGAATATTTTTTGGAGCTGGGATGGAGATGGATGGAGCCGCAACCATCAAAAATTCGCCATCAAAAGAGGGTCAAATATAAAAAACAGATGCCTAGCGGAAATCACATCCTAAAATCTAGGGTGTTACCCATTCTGGCCCCATACTGTGATCATTTTCAATGTACACAATGGGTCTTTGCCCAACTAGGAGGTGTGAATTGTTAAGTGGAGGTTGTTACTCATGTGCTCAATAGCGTTTATGCCACACAAGTCACGTCATGACGCTGAAGTGCCAATCTGGCAGGTTCCCCACCGCATGATTTTCTGGCAATATTCCAATCTTCAAAAAGGCCATTCCATCTTGGAAGTGGCCCCCACAGTCACAACAAACACCACGAGATGGATCTCGCCTGCCATAGCGCCTGCCGGTTGGACCCTCCAAGCCATCCCAGAACCTACCCAACTATCCAAGATATCCAAGGGGCACAACATGATGCCATTGAAGGCAGGTGGTTACAAAATTGGAGTAAGCCCTATTCGAAACACTGACTCACTGATGGGTGCCAGCGACATCCACATTTGAGTACTCGCACGCGCCCGGCCCAGGAAAGAAAATCAACCCACAAACCCGGAGTGCACATCATGTTAAAACAATTTTGGAAAGCAACTTATTACAACAGTCTTGCATTTTTCCATTGTTCCCGTATCATGTAGACTGTGGAGTGAGGAGTGAGGAGCTTAGGGTGTGGAGTGTGGAGTATGAAGTGTGGAGCGAGGAATGTGGAGTATGAAGTGTCGAGTGTAGAATGTGCTTTGTGAAGTGTAGAGAGGGAAGCGCGAAATGTAATGATGTAATGTGTTGGAGTGTGGAGTGTGGAGAGGGGAGTGCCAAGTGTACAGTGTGGAGTGTACAGCATTGGGTACCTTGTTGCGGCAGTTCTTTTCATTGCCCTTGCAACTTCACAAAATATTGCGCCTGCAAGGCAAAAAGAAAAAACGTAAATTGCCAAAACATAAGTGTCCCATAGACTGGCCGAAATGAGACGCTCACGATGTATTGCACCTGCCACGACATTTGCCCTTTGCCACCACTTGACACAGCGATTCCACTGCGATTTGCGAAACACGCGACACCAAACTTCTAAAGTACTGCGCCAGCAAAAATGGACATGGACATCTCTGAAGTGCTACACATGCCATGAAAAATGAGTGTGTCATCTTACAAGAAACCCTTCTTAAAAGTGTTTTAGCACGCGTAAAAGCATAGGTTTTTTGCGTTATCACACACTTATGCTCATGGACATGCCCGCCTCATCTCATGGCAATGATGCAGAATGATGAAGGGAAAAGTTCTCAGGAACGGCCGGTGGCGAAAGGCTGATTCTCTTTCGGGGGATCCATATACACTGTTGCTTCTAACATGTCCTTATTTGGTAAGTAAAAAAAATGCCATAAAACCCATGGAAAAAAAAAACACTATTTGCGGATGGTTTAGCCAATTTACAGTGCAACTTACCAATTTACAGTGATTTTTGGTCTGATCCTCGAGCCCGAGAAATGGTGAGGGAACTGATGTCGCAACCACACTGTGTGGTGTCATGGGGTTCCCTCACCCCCGATCTGGCCACCCGATACCCACATGAGTCAACTCGGTCACATACACATACAAATATATATATATATGATATGATATGATATGATATGATATGATATGATATGATATGATATGATATATGATATGATATATGATATGATATATGATATGATATGATATGATATGATATATGATATGATATGATATGATATGATATGATATATGATATGATATGATATGATATGATATGATATGATATATGATATATGATATATGATATATGATATGATATATGATATGATATGATATGATATATGATATGATATGATATGATATATGATATATGATATATGATATATGATATATGATATGATATGATATGATATGATATAATATGATATGATATGATATATGATATGATATGATATATGATATGATATATGATATGATATATGATATATGATATGATATATGATATGATATGATATGATATATGATATGATATGATATATGATATATGATATATGATATATGATATATGATATATGATATGTGATATGTGATATATGATATGATATGATGTGATATATGATATGATATATGATATGATATATGATATGATATATGATATGATATATGATATGATATGATATATGATATGATATGATATATGATATGATATGATATGATATATGATATGATATGATATGATATATGATATATGATATGATATATGATATGATATATGATATGATATGATATATGATATGATATATGATATGATATGATATGATATATGATATGATATATGATATGATATGATATGATATACGATATGATATATGATATGATATGATATGATATATGATATATGATATATGATATATGATATATGATATATGATATGATATGATATGATATGATATGATATGATATATATATGATATATATATATGTGTATATCATACATATATATATGTATATCATACATATATATATATGTATACATTACAATACAGTATATATATATGATATGCAGTAAGATAAACATACTCAGAGATCAACAAAGTCGGACCTATACCCATGGCAAAAAGCACAGCAGCACCTTTTTTCTTTCGTTCCACAGCCGGCAACTCAGGACGCCTCTGCTACGATGGGATTTGATGGGAATGTCCGGAGAAAAAAAAAAGAGATATAATGGAGATATGATAGGGATATAAGAGAGATATCATAGAAATATGTTTGGGATATAGTAACTAGAGATAATATAGATATATAATAGAGACTCAATAGATATATATATATATAATAGGGATATTATAGGGCTTTTAACCAACAATAGGATATGTGGCTCTGAAGATTTGACTACCTAATCAAATTTGGAATTGTCATGATCCATATCATGAATATTCATCATGTTTTATCAATCTTGATGTATTGACGTATTCAATTCATACCGATATGTTCTGATACATTCAATAGCTGGTGTAGAGTTTTGCGGCAGGGCTCTTTGAGACACTGAAGTTGAGGATGTGTTCAAATCCATGCTATGCCCATGCCAATTTTGCCCACCAAACGCAGCCACAATTCACTCCTCTAAAACGTTGCCATCTTGAACTGTGCAAAGGGATGGTGCCTCTATGTCCAAAAGCACTTCATTTTCTAGCCGCGAACGGGATGTTTTTACGAGCGGCCAATGTTGAGCATCAAAATCTGGTTTTTGGATGTTTTTGGCACAATCTATTTTGAGATCTGGCATCCAAAATCCTGTGGAAGCCAGCTGCAGGTCTTACAGGAACATCATCCACAACCGAAATGCCTCAGGATCCACCCCGCCTTTGGCACACAGACTTCCTTTTCAGACCTGGCGCGAAGTCAAAAAGTCAAAAACAATGTGATCTTTAAGATCTCCATCGTGTCTTTTAACAAACGTGCTGAGATATTTTGCGACACTACATGTACTGATTACAGTATATTGCTGACATCTATGACATATATTCTGACACTTTAGAGATATTTCGAGAAACGGCTTCCCTGCAGTAACATATGCCATCATATGCCCTAACATATATGTTCCAAGAATTTGGTCGGCATATATTCTGAGAGTTTTCCTTGCATTTCTAGTGACATCATTTCTCATTTATTTTCCGACATTTCTTGTGACATTAGTTTGGAAAATCTTCCAACACCAGCGGGTGACACGCCCCGTCGTGAGAAGAGGCAAAGAGGAGGCAGGAGACCGGAGGTGCTGTCACCTTTATGGGGAAAACACTCGAAAGATTTGCTGAGCTTAAAACATCTTGAAACCAACATAAAATACATAAACTAACAAAAACCGAGCTGGAAACTGTGGAAAAAAATCACGCCCAACTCGATGGACTCAGCTGAGCACTCGCAACGCGCCAGGTGAACCATTCACATTCTTGATCTCGACCACCTCCAGTCGCCTCGCAGCCCTCTTTGCTGCTGATTAGCTCAGCTTTGGAGTTGCAGGCACACCAAGTTGGAGAGCCTTTGGGGACGATCGGAAGAATATCTTGACCTCAAAACCCTGGGACCCTTCGTTTCCCCGATTCGTGGCTAGGCTTATCCTCTGAGGGCCAGCAGTTGTGGCGAATCGGTGTTGAATTTTTGCCACTTCCAAATCACCGAAATTGGATGGATTTCCATGGGGATTCTCTGCAGCAAGGCTTATCCTCTTGGAATCTTTTGGGAAACATCGTGAAAGACAATGAACTGGGCGTCCACTCCATGGATAATATGGCTATGTCAGATTCGGAACCAAAAAAATATATAGCCTTTTGATCCTGAAACAAACCCGGGACAACCAGGAAAACTGTTGAGAACAACGGCGCGATCCGTTCAGATCCGTGTTCAAGTTGTCCGGATGTTTGCACAAGGTGGTGCCCCCCAGTTGTAAGTTGGTTTATAAACCATAGATAACCATAGTAAGTATATAATATATATATATCATATATCTACCATAAACCATCATAAACCATAGTTATTGGAGTTATAAACCAACTTAGCTAACGAACTGGGGCACCATCTTGCTGCAGGATTCGTGTTCTTTTCGAGGGGATCTCAAGGAATCAGAGTTTTCTACTGCACAGGTCTCAAGCAAGATCTCGATCTTCACTCCTCAAAAGTTCTGTTTTTTCATGCAAATATGTGTGATTTGTGTGGATAGGATACTTGTTTTTCTCTGTGTGTGTGTGTGGCACAAATAGAATGCCGCGCTGCTTCCACAGAGTTTCGTATGTCGAACACAAACTGGAAATCTCATGCACATCGACGAGAGGCAACGAAACCTAGAAAGGATGTTTCCATGAGCCTGTGTTGGCACCACCTCCCCAAGAAAGATGAGAAGGAGTGAGAAGCAGTGAAAGTGAAAGGAATTGAAGATAACTGAAGTATAAACTGTATCAAAGAACGTCTGAAAGAAGTGTGAAGAATGTCTTGTTGATATGCGGAAACTGTGAAGCTTGAAGCGGTTTTTGTTGGATTTGTTCAGAAACCAATCGGACTCAGCCCAAATATCCCAGTATTTGGGTCTTGTGATAATCGTGATACGATCCAGCGCAACCTGGCCTTTCTCTTCTTCCTTTCGATTCTTACAGTCCTGGGTTTGGAAAAAACGACGGTCATCTCGGCGCTTTTTAAACCAATGTGAATCCCGAAAAAATCCCGTGAATCCGAGACACGGGAGGCCCGGTCTTCTCCTGGGCGCTGAAGATCGCTGAAGGCATTGGTTGGGAGGGAATGAATTTCAATGAACATCAAGATATATCAAGATCATAAAGATGAAAAACCTGTTTTAAGGCACACGAATTGTCGCATTTCACGAAAAAACCGAGGCCTTCTGAATTTCAAATGTAAATGGCACAGCACCGGAAGAATAGCATCTCCAGTCAAGCCCTTTTCCCAGGGTGGGTAAAATGAGCAGATTCTCACAGGGGTTCAACGGACAGGCGACAAATAATATGCGCTCTTTGGTTCTCATGGGAAAGGATTGCATGTTCTCCAAAGTTCTAGGTTTTCCCACTGTGCCAAACAACCAGAAAAATCACCCGCCTGGTCCGACGCTGCAGTTGCATTCGTCTGGTTCTTCTTTTCCTGAAAAAAGGTCGTGCTGTCAAAAGCAAAGAAATGCCCTTGGGAACGGGGAACACATCGGCATCATCGGTAAAAACCTCGACAAAAACCACTTCAAACCAAATGTTTCAACAAACAGGATGCTGTCCCAGATTTCATGTCGTATCTTCTGCAGGTTCCCCAAAGTTTGAGGTTTCCCCACTGTGCCCAAAAAAGTCAATCACGCGCCTGGTCGCTGGAGTTAGCCAACGCTACAGTTGCATTCGTCTGGTTCTTCTTTTCCTGAAAAAAGGTCGTGCTGTCAAAAGCAAAGAAATGCCTTTGGGAACGGGGAACACATCGGCATCAGCGGTAAAAACCTCGACAAAAACCACTTCAAACCAAATGTTTCAACAAACAGGATGCTGTCCCAGATTTCATGTCGTATCTTCTGCAGGTTCCCCAAAGTTTGAGGTTTCCCCACTGTGCCCAAAAAAGTCAATCACGCGCCTGGTCGCTGGAGTTAGCCGACGCTACAGTTGCATTTGTCTGGTTCTTCTTTTCCTGAAAAAAGGTCGTGCTGTCAAAAGCAAAGAAATGCCCTTGGGAACGGGGAACACATCGGCATCATCGGTAAAAACCTCGACAAAAACCACTTCAAACCAAATGTTTCAACAAACAGGATGCTATCCCAGATTTCATGTCGTATCTTCTGCAGGTTCCCCAAAGTTTGAGGTTTCCCCACTGTGCCCAAAAAGGTCAATCACGCGCCTGGTCGCTGGAGTTAGCCGACGCTACAGTTGCATTCGTCTGGTTCTTCTTTTCCTGAAAAAAGGTTGTGCTGTCAAAAGCAAAGAAATGCCCTTGGGAACGGGGAACACATCGGCATCATCGGTAAAAACCTCGACAAAAACCACTTCAAACCAAATGTTTCAACAAACAGGATGCTGTCCCAGATTTCATGTCGTATCTTCTGCAGGTTCCCCAAAGTTTGAGGTTTCCCCACCGTGCCCAAAAAAGTCAATCACGCGCCTGGTCGCTGGAGTTAGCCAACGCTACAGTTGCATTCGTCTGGTTCTTCTTTTCCTGAAAAAAGGTCGTGCTGTCAAAAGCAAAGAAATGCCTTTGGGAACGGGGAACACATCGGCATCAGCGGTAAAAACCTCGACAAAAACCACTTCAAACCAAATGTTTCAACAAACAGGATGCTGTCCCAGATTTCATGTCGTATCTTCTGCAGGTTCCCCAAAGTTTGAGGTTTCCCCACTGTGCCCAAAAAAGACAATCACGCGCCTGGTCGCTGGAGTTAGCCGACGCTACAGTTGCATTCGTCTGGTTCTTCTTTTCCTTGAAAAAAGGTCGTGCTGTCAAGAGAGAAGAAACACTGGTAATGCTGGAAATATCGTCTTTAGGGGTCAGAACATCGACCAATTCAAGAGTGTTCAAACGCAATTCATATACATCATCTCTATCATATTCAAACTCAATTTCTTCTTATCCGTTGTTATTTCAACGGAAAAAAAGAGGCAGCATGGCTCGGTCCACTGCGCGCCTCACTGGGCTCAGGCTCGTCCTGAAAAACTGCTCCTGACTGGTCCTGATACCTTGGATTTACCTATGGAAAATGTACCCTCTGGTAATTTAACATAACTATGGAAAATCACCTGTAAATGGTGATTTTCCATAGCTATGTTAAATTACCAGAGGGTACCATTTATAGATGATTTACCTAGCTAGAAATGATGATGTTCCATAGTTTTTTGTATGTTTACTCAGAGGGTAACAAACATTAGGGTCAGAGAGTAACGTCGCTCATTGTGATCCCGAGAATCGCAGATCAATTCTTCGCAATCCAAACTTTCAATCATTTTCAATCCACCAGTTCATAGTTCATGAAATAATCCATTGAAATCCATTGAAATCCATTGAAATCCATTGAAATCCATTGAAATCCATTGAAATCCATTGAAATCCATTGAAATCCCATTGAAATCCCATTGAAATCCACCAGGTTTAAACCTTCATCCATGAAATCACCATGACATCGACGCCGTCCTGGGTCTCGGCCGCGCCGCTCTCGTCGCCTCGATAAAAATTGGGTGGTCCAGTCTGGTCTGAACTGTTTAAGCGGATATATGGATCTGGGTCAAAATGGATGACCTAGGGGACCACAGATGTTAGTCTAGTTTAGTATTCACCATCCAATTATTGGGGTACCTAATTTTGACCCATACCCATATAACAAAGGAAAGTGTGAAAATGTTGATTTAAATGGGGAACATGAGCATTTAACTAGTGAAAATGCGGATATTATCTGATATATAACCAAGCATCGTGCTTTTTGGCACCCCGAATCCATATCATTCATCATCATAACAAAAATCCCAACTGATGGGGGATAAAGTTCATTAAAAGTAACCTCAACTGCAAGTACAATGATGAGGTTTAGCACCCATCGACCTGGTTTCGGATCCACTTCAGCGTTGTCGGTCGGCTCATCGTCGTCAGCGTCATCCTCATCGGTGCCTCACAGGGTTCGGAGGCATGACCTTCTGCCAGCGGCGCCCCATTTTTCTGAACGCCTCCCCAAATTCTGACTCAAATCCTTGATTTATACCAAAATTGGATGCCCAAGAAAACTCTGAAGTGTCTGCTGAAGGCAGGGCCTGCCAAACAAAAAAAAACGATTAACCAAGGGGTGACGAGGGAATCACGGCAGGTCCATGGCTGTGCTGTCATCAAACTCATCGAACCCCAAGTTCCACCGTTATTCAGATTTCGGACTTTCCATAAATGGGGGTACCCCTGTTCATCATCCATTTTTGTTTGGGATTCTCCATGAAATTAAACCATCCAGCGATAAAGAAGAGTGATGGGGGATGATGATCAGTCCTGGGCATCGAAAAAAATGAGGAGTTCTCTGGCGTAGAGACATGATGATACATGCATCTAGATAAACATATTCCTTCTATGCTCCTTCATCCTTGTTGCTAATGTGCTAAACCCAATAATTAACCGTCCCCAAAATCACCATTCTTGCGGGTGGTATTGAAACATTGAAACCATCCCCAAATGGTAGGTCTATGGCATTGGGTTTCCCTCATGATTAATACTTACAAGACGTGTGTTTGAAAGATTTTGCCAGGGGTACCAAGGGGTACATCTCGTGTGGATATTGGTCAAGTTTGTCACAAAATCGGCCGACAAAAACTGCCAATGAGAAAAAAAGAACCCCTTTTAGATGTCATTGAAGCATTGAATCCTATGTAAAACCTTCGAAGCTAAGATCAAAGATAGACTTTCATACCCGTGAAGTGTTGCAAGATCTCAAACTCCTGATATTCATCTTTAAAGTCTCACATCTAGGGGATCCCATGAAATTTCATGACCCAAATCTGGGGCGCCCGTGGTGCTGCTTTCAATGGGGTTCGTCTCGGTCTTCGCCTGATTTTTGCCAGCTCAAGTCATTCGGATACCACATACTCTCCGGTCATCTGAGGTGCCGCTAAACCCGATTTATGTCATCCAATACTTGGAGGATCATCATGATCATCCCATATAAATCGTAGCCATACTTATAAGCCACGAATCGGGCCAAACGATCACCAGGCTTGCGATCACTACCACTATTCTTTTCTTAAACGTCCTCCAAATACTTGGTTACTTGATTGAGAACGGGCCACTTCATGAATTATGATGTTCCCCAATGAATCTTGGGTATAACCCCCTTGGTATCACCAATCAACAAGAGTAAAAAAGAGTCGTCGCTTCGTCGCCCGGGGCATCGACTGGGATTTCATGTGACCGAAACGTGTCACAATCCCAGTGCCAGAAAGGAATATGGATATCTATACGTATTTATGTATATATATATATATAGAGAGAGAGAGATATATATATCTATACGTATTTATATATATAATGTGTGTATGTGCGGCCTATAAATTGTATGTTTTCGCTACAAAATGATACAAAATGATCATATCATTAGATTCGATCTGACAGGTTTGCTCTGTTCAACTCTGACCACCGCATCCCTTTCATTTCAACACAGGAGACCCAGTAATATGGGGTATCCAAAATGTGTCACCCAAAAACCATCAAAGTTGCTCAGCAAAGCCATCAAGTCTCAAATGTCTCAATTGTTTGCTAAGACTCTCATAAAAGCTCCTGATTCCCCTCTCTTAGCATCTCGAAATATCATGAATTCCAGCAACACAGGGCCAAGACACCTTGGATTGGTTGTCCTTGAATAGCTGTTTGAATAGCTGTTTCTCTTCCTTTGTGAGCTCCTGCTATGCCAAGGTGCAAAAATAGTTCACATGTCCCCTCTACTTCTTAGAGTCACCTAGAGCGACATAGAGACACACAGAATGACTTCTTCCCAGCCGTTGCATTGGGGAGTAACCCTCTGATACGTTCAAGTGTGGCATGTTTGGCACCCTGAACCCCAGCACATATTGCCGCAAGAGTCATGGATCATGACCTGAACATGTTTTAAAAAGACACGATGCCTGGCGAACTGGTTTAGTAACTGGGTGTATAGCTTATAACCCACTTTTCAATGGGATACCCCTGTTTCGTTGCAATGCTTTTCCCGCAATTTTTGGAGGCTACCCCAGCTGTCTGAGCTGGGAAGGATCAACGAAATCTAGTATCGCCCAGATCTGCAATTTTCTTGCCAAGACAGGCACATAAGAATCGACAACATACTCCTTGCTTAAAAAGATTCATCCCAATCCCACTGGTTGCTTTTTTCTACCCTCCGGTAATCAAACGTGGCTTGCTGGAAAATTCCCCATTTATAGTTGATTTTCCCACTCAAACCTCCATTGATAGGAGATTGTCCATTGCCACGTTTGATCATCAGAAGCTATCATCACTTTGAAACGCATGGTTTTGCAAGTCATTACCATAATTCGATGATGGGAGGGCCTATCCCCATGTGTAGGCTTCATCCTTCCGAAAATGTCTCTCATCCAAACAGAAGTGATCTTTTTGCCTGCAACATTGGGGTCACTTTCATGGGATTGAAGTTAGTCAAGGGCCGCCGATTAGGAAATATTCTCAATGTATCAGTGTACTTCTAAGAGACTACATTATTTACAATCTGCTCATATCTACTCTCTGGTTGTTTAACACAGCTATTGATTGTTGCTCAGGTATAGATGATTCACCTACTAAGATTGATGATTTTACATAGCTATCTTAAAGAACCAGAGGGTAATTGCTAAGGCAATTCCCTAGCTCGAGGGATCATCCCAATTTTTAGGGTCCTCTGCGTGCTTATCATCTTCCTCACGATCTTGCCCACCTTGGCCTTGAACGTCGTGTCCTTTGCAGGTCATCAAAACAGGTCCATCCCGAGTCAAAACTACTCACCTGGTGAGCAAATCCATCTTGAGTCAGCTACATGAGCGATCTTCAAAAATGCGATGAATCATTCGTGTCGTGAAAACGTGGAGTTTAGAATCTCTATCTGCTCTGTTTTGTAATTTAGGGCTGATTTCGTGGACACTACACCAGGGTCAAGGAACGCTACCTGAGACCTGCCCACAGAAATCATTCTGGCGGCACGGCCCAGCTAGCCATGGAGTCTGGAAAGATCATCGAAAAAATTGGTAATTGTCCAGCAAGCCAGTGGGCTTCATGGGTGCCATGACGCTTCGTGAGCCACTTGATACGCTGGAGAGGGTTGGAAGACGGATAACTTCCGCAGGATTGGGTCACAAACATCCTCCAAAATATAATCAAGTCTTAACCCAACACATGGGGAACTGGATTTCTGCATTCCATTTCTTCCGTATGTTCACTGAGGATACCCTCCCCGCTCCTGTAGGTATTGACACATTGACGTCTGCTTCCTGGTGCAGGGTGATGATGCCCTGCAAACTTCCAGGGAATGCCTTGGATTGAGCGGTTTTTCAGACTCTCAATTCTCGATCTCGTTCAGGCTTTCGTCAGAAAATCTTGGAGAATCTTGGAAAGAACTGTGGAACCAAACACAATATTAAAATATATTAAACAGTAATATAACACCATTGCATTCAAAATTCCCTTCCCCTTTATCTATCAGGAACGACACACCGATGGTATCCTTGGACCCGCCCGCGCCTTGCTGGCGTTACCCTTGCTCTTTAGCACCGTGGCCACCTCATCCACCTCGGCACAAAACGTGTTTCTGAAAGCTCCGAAAAACGCTTCAGAATAAGCTTTACTAAGCTTAGAATAGGAAATCATCTTAGAATGTGGAATCTACAGTTTTGCTGGTTTTTGCCAATCATCAAATCTGCGGAAAAATCGGAAGCACGGAAAACGAAGTCGCCTTGGCCATGTGGTTTCGCTTCACCGCCAGCCGGAACCTGGGCTGCCATGGATCCAAGATCTGCAGCTCGTAAAAAAACACCGTGAGATCTGAAGCAATGCTTTGAAGTTGGAAAAACAATCATCAAAAATCATGAAAAACATGAAAAATCTTGGAAAATGATCAAACAAAAATTTTAGTGTGTGAATTACACAATCTGGGTGTTTCAACCCCTTCAGAACACCGATATCCATAAGGGCCAAGCAGTTTGAGCAACTGGGTGAAGTTTTTGTGGCCTCACATGGCACGTCTTCGGCCTGCTGTTTTCTCCATGTTTGGACAACTTGATGATCCTTGGATGATCCTTGGCTCAATAGACATGATTTTGCAGGATCAATAGGCGCGCCTTGATTGATCTTCTCGAGCAAAGCCTTCCACCTGTCGTCGCAGGGCCCATCAAGGCAAAAACATCCCGTTGGTTGAGTTCCACACCCATTTGGCACCACGTTTGAATATGCTGGTTTCTGGGGAATATGGTGGTTTCTGGGGAATGTTGGCTGAACAAGGGGCACGCGGAGGACCGAGGACTGAAAAATCAGAGTCGATGGAATTCATGGCTGTCACAAATACTCATGATTGGAAACCCCTAAAATCCTAAGAATACAGATCAAAAAGCGTTAAATTAAAGAGCTTGAATTTTGACAGGCCAAAAAGCTGGCAATTATCCTTTTAAAGGCATCTGGCAATTCTCAACACCATCCATCACCATTCATGATATCCGGATTTAACATGTTGCTCTTTTTGTTGGGACCATGGCGCCGATTCCCTTTGAAAGTCACCTTTCTTGTCATTCTTGGGGAATGTGCTTCAACTTGCTACACTGAAGGGACAGTGAGCACCCAAGGTCACCAGGCATTGCAGCATTGCCAAGTGCTGAAAGAAGTATCTAATCTATCACTATCGACATCTATCGACTATCTTCTATGGATATCTATGCTATACAATGCCAGATATAACGGCTAAATGCAAGTTCTGAATGCAAGCCGCGACCTCATTTTTAGGGGGCTGCAACCAGATGCATCAAATGCACCCTCTCGCGATTGTGGAAGTGCTGAAGCGAACACAACAGTCTGCAACACGGAGAGACTACGGAGAGAAGTCCAATTGGAGTCCAATTCCCCAGTCCGTGTGTCTCCAAATTGGGGACGCTCCAACTGGATATGATAGCCATGGTGGAGCTGGATGGAGCTGCATGGAGCCCGCCTCTTACTCTTCATAATCACCTTTTTTGCTCGCTCTTCCAGTGCGTTGACCTTGGAAATTCGCATCCCAGAGGTCAGCCCCACTGAAACTGGGACTATACGGTATACCGCCACATGGCCATCAAATAATAATATAAGAATAATGATGATGACATCAAATAGTAGTAGTAGTAGTAGTACTCGTTGTCGTCGTCGTCGTCGTATCTTATAATTTATACTAGTAATTATAATAACAATAATAGTAATAATTAAAACAATAATTGACAATAATTGACAATAATTGACAATAATTGACAATAATTGACAATAATAGCAATAATTAAAGGGAACATGATCATCAACCATCAATAGAAATCTCCCCTTCACCACCAGCCCTCCTCCCTTTCTTTCCGCGTGGCCATGGCTGGGAACTTGGAGACATCCTCCACGTCCTTGTGCTGTTTGGCTCGGAAGCGTTGATACCTCCAGCAGCGCGAAAGCGCAGCGCTGGAATCTACATGATCCACTTGGATCTTTGCCATTGGTTTTCATAGGGTTTTTTTTGGTCCCCAGAATACATCAGAATGTTTTTTGTGGCTAATAGTGAGTAAGAGTGATTAATAGTGATGAAAAAAGTGGCTAATAGTCATTCATAGTGACTACTAATGGCTAATCATGGTTCATAAGTTATGATCATACGCATGCTATAGGGATTTCCGGAGTCATGGGGATACCCCAAGCTCATGGGTTGACTTCATGGAAAATCCCAAACTAATAGCTGGAGGATTTATATCGGGGTACCCCCATTTCAGGAAATGCCCTTCCTGGTCTCCCCCAAAACAAAAGTAACCAGATCAACTGGTGGTGAGAAATGGATGAAATGGATCGTGATGTATCGATATATCCTGGCAGTAGCCCCAAGCTGCTAGAACAGCCCAACAAAAATCCGTCCCAAAGGCTGCAAATCCATGGTCAAGTAGCCAAAAAAGTACGGAGTTAGCCAGTTCATATTCCAGATATTCCTAGATTGAGCATGATTCTACACCATATGAACACCATATAAAACAGATTTCCCAGAAATTCCGATTAAAAAAAAACATGACCAAAGCCTGTGAATTTGAGCCAAGTGACCCTAAGTGCTCCACACCACGTTCAGCAGATGCCTGAGGCAAAAAAAATTCAAGGTTAGGCAATGTCCCGCTATATGATGTATATTATGCCTTTGTCTGAAAATAGGGTACCTCAAATTCCAATGGTTGCTTGGTATCTATATATATATATATATATTGTTATTAGGATTCAGTTTGCTTCACTTAGGACTCTTCAACCAACTTCCCAGGTGTTTGGCACTTCGTTTTCCAACCAGCTGCATGTCTTTGCAGCATCGCAGGCTCAGGAGGGGCCTCAGGCAGTGGGCGGGTAGGGATCAGCCGATCCTTGAAGCCATTGGAGTTTTGCTACGGTTTGCAGAGACAGGGATCCTGCAGTGGAAGAACGTGGCCGTTCTTTTTCCTTTCAACCGTTGGTCGTGTCTTTCGAGACTACTGTGTGCAGCGCTTTGCTAAAACAGAGAGTTGCCGCTGGAACAGCTGCTTGGGATCATCCAACTGGAAGTATCAGATCAGGGTGTTTGAGGTTTTCCATTATTGGATTGGCAGTGCAGTTTTCCGTTGAGAAGGGGCCCGTGCCAATTACATTGGTAGCGGAGCTCCGGCTTGCTACCGGAGCATCCAGGGCGGTCAAGCATGGCAGCCGCATCGGACGGTGATGGTACCAACACCGGAGTTGGCTCTCAGCTAGCCACACTGGTACCTCACTTTGATCCGTCGACAGACAACATGTTGGAGTATCAGCAGAAGGTGGAACTGGTTCTCATGGCATGGCCGAAGAATCGCATAACTGAGTTGATTACCCGGTTGATCCTAAACTGCAAGGGATCAGCCTTCTCCAAATTGCAATTGCATAGGTCAGAACTGATGGAAAATGATGAGAAGGCCGTCAAACGGCTCATCGAGCTGTTGGGTGGCCACTGGGGCCGCATAGCTTTGGAGAAACAGTACGAGGAGGCAGAGATTGCGTTGTACCACCTGACCCAAAATCAGGATGAATCCAATGATAGTTACCTGGCCAGAGCCGATGTAGCTTGGAGCAAACTGCAATCCAGAAAGCTTTCCCTGGATGATCTGCAGGCATATATCCTTTTGCGGGGATCAAGCCTGAGTGCAGAGGACAAGAAACGGGTAATCTTAGAATCGGACAGCAGCCTGGAAGGTCAACTCACAGTGAGACGTGTCAGCGAAGCCGTCAGGTTGTTGGGAGCCAGCTTCTTCCATGACATGACAGGTGCCAAGAAATCTGCCAAGAACCGCGTCTATGGAACCACCACCCTAGTAGCTGAAGATGATGAGCCCGAAAGTGAAATCCACCACACCGAGGACTGCGCCGAGGATGACTTTGTGGAATGCCTCGTCAATGAAGGCGACAGTGATGCCACACTGGTGACAGACTTTGAAGCTGCAGCAGCCGAAGTGTTGCAGGATGATCCAGAGTTAGCCTCAGCATACAGTGCATACACTGAAGCCCGTCGCAGGTTGTCGGAGAAGTTCAAGAACAGGGGATTTTGGGCTACCTCCAGCCGATCCACCACCCAGACCTCCAAAGGGAAGTTTGGATCGTCAAAGGGTTCAGGAAAAGGGAAAAAATGCATGGCAGCCCAGAACTCGCAAGAGCCTTCAGGACCGGATCCTGAACTCATACTGCCGAAACTGCAATAGGAAGGGTCACTGGAAGGCGGAGTGTCCGTTTCGACAGTCCGGTGGTCAAAATTCTTCTGCAGCATCAGGTATGTCGACAGGCCCACCGAGTGTTCCTGCCACCATGGTATCAGCTGAGTCCCATGGAGATGCATTGCCCCTGGAGTTTCTGAATTTGCCGTCAGCCTCCCATGGAGCCATAGATGATGCTTTGCCTATTTTAGTGCAAATAAGTCATGAACTCACACATGTCAGGGCTAGGGGAATCGGTTATCGTGATAAGATTCATGGGGAATCCACAGGGGATAACTGGGGAACCATAGGTAGCCCGTCTCCAAAAGAGCGACTGAAAGCCTGGGGTTTCAGGAATGAGATCCACGACACTGCCAAGAAGCGCCTTGCAGCCTCGCTGTTGAATCACCGTAGCTTGCCCGCAGAACGTCAACAGCACGTTCTTGCCAGAGCCAGTGAAATGTCACCGGAATGCCGTCCGAGTGATCACACCAGGGATCATGCCAGAAATCCAGAAACAGTTGTTGAATCTCCCCATGTAGAAACGAAAACAGTAGACAGTGAAGCCACCATATGTTTTGCCACCCATGGGTCACACGGCATACTTGATTTGGGAGCCAGCAAAACCGTGATTGGCAGTGATCATGTTGCCGAACTAATTCAGAGCCTCGATGATGATGCACGTCAACGACTCTCCCGGTGCCCCTGCAGCATAACCTTTCGTTTTGGTAATCAAGGAACATTAAGTAGCAAACAAGCTCTTGTTATTCCGATTGGTCCCCTTCAACTTAAGGTAGCTATAGTGCCAGGAGGAACACCATTTCTCATCAGCAATACGTTGATGCGGGCAATCGAGGCCAGAATAGATTGTGCATCCCAGACTGTCAACAGTCCCCTGCTCAAGACACCAGTACCGTTGCAGCTCACTCCAAAGGGTTTGTTTCTGATTGATGTCAACCAGTTGATCAAATCAGCACAAGGAAAACCGAGCGGAAGGGACAAGTCTGGAACCAGACAATGTGCCGAGACCTTCATGTCCGATGAGACGGAGGCAAAACGAGTGGCCGATCAAATCCAGCCAGTAAATGCCAAAATCCAAAAGCCAACCACTGAAATAACCAAGAATAATAAATCCGATACCAATCATAACCTTAACTCCCCAAGAAGACCAATGCGCAAAGCCAACCAAACTGTCACAGACTCAAAGGAAGCCGAAAATCATGACAGCAGCATCCGTGTTCAAAAGCAGGTGACCGTTCAGTCAGCCGAAGATCCAACCCGAGACCAGACTCATGGCGTCGTTGTCGCAGCGCCTACGATCGTTGCAGATCCCAGCCTCTCAGATGCCCGAGAGCCTGGATCACCTGCGACTGGAAGACCTGGAGAACGAAACCATCTCGTTCGGCCAGAAACATCAGGGTCACTCCTTTCAGGAGGCATGGCTGGACCAGGAATGGGTCCATTTCATGTTGGGCCGCTACCAGAACTCAACGAAGGAAAGCCATCGAAGATTCCTGAAGTATGTGGAACTCCGAGTCGAGGAGATGGAGAATTCTCAGACGGTCTTGCCGCCACGACAGACCTCAAGTCAGGGAAACCGAGCCAAGGCCAAGCCCAAGCCAGGAGCCAAGACCATGGCCACACCGTCTCTCATCTCTTTGCAGGATGGGGACGAAGACTGGGATGTGGAGTCAGAGATGTTCATCCCAGTGACTACGGGCTATGCCACCAACCCCATGACAGAGGAAGTCACAGCCTTGCAGACCCGGACGTTGAACATGGAAAATGCGTTGACGCGCGTGATCAGGCACATCGAGGACCAGGCCTTGCTGAACAATGTCAACCAGGGGAACGAGACGGCCTGAGAGACCCGTGGAATTCCGACAAGCCAGCGTCAATGCCTGCAAATGTAGAGGGTTTGGAGTCCGAAATCAAAGGCATCAAGGAAGACTGGGATAACCATGTTTTCACGTCAATGTCCTCTGAAACATCAGAACTATGGAGACTGGTAGGACAAATAACCTCAGAGATGCAGGATGTCCTGCAACAGACCAAGCCCATGGGAAGTAGATGGACTCTAGGAGAAGTGATGTGTAGCTCCAAATCTCCGATCACACAGCAGGTTTTGAACAGCGGCCAGCAGGCTTTCCGTTTTGGCCTGGATCAGGGAGACCTTTCCACCAGCGCGGGCCGATGCCTCTTGTTTAGGAAGATAGCACAACATCGGCCGAGACATGTTTGGTATTCCCCAACCTGTGGTCCTTGGTCCTCGTGGTCCCAGTTAAATGCAGCCCGATCAATGCAACATCAGCAGGAATACAATCAGATGAGAAAAGACCTACTATATCAAATTGCCCTGGGAATTGTTCTTTATCGCCATCAAATTGTTCACAAGAGCCATTTTCACTGGGAACAACCACAGAAGTCACTGATGTTTCACTGTCCAAATCTTTCCGAAATCCAGGAACATACTCGTGCGTGTCAGTTTGATATGTGCCGTGCTGGTGCCTTGGTAGATCCCGAAAACAAGATGCCTATGAAGAAAGGAATGACAGTTCTGACCACCAACGAACTTTTCTACAAACGGTTCCATGGTGTAGTTTGTGACCACCGTCATCAGCACCAACCAATAGAGGGATCATGCCGAATGTCCAAAGGCGAAAAGGTACTCAGGTCAAAGTACCCCGAAGTGTATCCCAGAAAGTTTGCCAGAGCCGTAGCCCAAGTCATGACCAAAGGATCCATGTGTTTGCCATATGGATGGAACTCAGAACTGTCCGCCTACAGTGCCCAGTTGGAAGACCAGGCATCACCAGTGATGGCGATTCAGACCAAGTTCAGGTCAAAACAAAAGTTCCCGTTGTCCGAGATTGTGTCTCCACACGCCCGGGCAGATGCCGATGCCAAGAGATCCAAAACGGATCTGCACCAAGGGATCGCTCCGACGCTAGAGACATGCCAGCAAGCAATCCAGGCCGTGAGTGAAGTGTTGCCCAGAGTAGGTAAGAAAGAGGTTCATGAACCCCAAATCATGTCCATGCTGCAGCAGATCTTTCCTGATAAACACATAAGAACTGCAATAGCCTGCCGGGGTACAGAAAGAACCATGGAACCACCAAAGACCTTGCATGCTCAGGAAGCCCCATATCGTAGGATGCTCATGCTGCGTCGTGATGGGGGAATCAGATATGAGAAAAACTGGGAAAAATGGACTGAACTCAGTAAGCGTCAACTCATACGACCATCTCATGCTTGCAGGGTAAATGTCACGGTTTTTGCAAAGGGATTCGAATCAAACGAACAACAGCTCTCACCCGAAAGACCAATACCTGAAGAGCCGTCTGTTCCAGAGCAAAAGGAGTCAAGAAGTGTGCAGGAACCGCCTCCTCAGGAGGTCTCAACTAGCTCAGACCAGGTGCCTGCTGGCGAGTCAAGCGGTAATCAAGTTCCAGTGCCGCCCAGTGCAGAATCCGAATCTCCTTTTGGAAAGCCAGGAGCTTCAACCGAAGGAGGAGCCAATACGCCTCCTTTGGTGCCGGAGAACACGTCCCTGGACCCAGTGCTAGAGCAACAAAGCCAGAGATTCCGAAGTTTGCCGAAGTGGGAACAACAGATGATCCTCAAACTTCACAAGAATCTAGGCCACCCCTCAAATGATAGGCTTGCCCGAGCACTCCAGGTTAACGGGTCACGGCCGGAAGTGATCCAAGCGGCTTCAGAAATTCGATGCACAGCTTGCGCAGCACATGCTCCTCCGAAGCATGCCCGGCCAGCCACTTTAAAGGCCATGATAGACTTCAACCACAAAGTATATCTTGATGGTATTAAGTGGACCAATAGCCAGGGTAAATCATACCACTTGTTTCACATGTTGGACGCAGGAACTAACTACCATGTAGCCATTGCCTCACCAGCCAGAACTTCTCAAGACCTCATCCAGGTGCTGAGCCAATATTGGTTAAGTTGGGCTGGACCACCAAGTGAACTAGTGGTTGACTCGGGAACTGAGATGAACAGCCAAGAGTTTTCAGAATTTGCCCAAAGGTTCAATATACGCTTGACTACCACGGCCCCAGAAGCACACTGGCAGAGCGGCAAGATCGAGCGTCATGGTGCCTTCTTGCAGTCAATGCTGAGTAAAGTAGACCTGGAACATCCCGTTTCCAGCTATGCCGATCTCCAAATTGCTTTGAACCAGTGCACCCATGCCAAGAACTCTCTTAGCATAAGACAGGGATACGCCCCAGAAGTGATAGTATTTGGGAAACATAGCAGGTTACCGGGATCGATACTCAGTGATGAATCCGTGCCTTCCCACGAACAAGCTTTGCAAGAGGAGAACAGCATCAGTCCTGCGGCCTTTCGCCAAACACTGGCAATCCGAGAATCAGCAAGACGAGCATTTCACACTGCCGACAACTGCAATGCTCTACGAAGGGCCCTCCTTCGAAGAGCTTGTCCGACCAGAGGACACTATGTCAAAGGCGAGTGGGTAATGACTTGGAAAAATGGTCCCCTGAATCAACATCGATGGTGTGGTCCCCATAGAGTAATCCTTCAAGAAAATCATCATACGGTGTGGTGTACCTCAGGGGGGAAGCTCATCCGGAGCGCGCCAGAGAACACAAGAAGGGCCTTTCCTGAAGAAGGTTCTCCGGAGGGTCCAGAGTTGCCAGAGGACATAACACCGATGACACAGCAGATTGCCCGCATGAAACAACAGGTCCAACTAGAAGATAACCCCGAAAATGAGTCACCTGAAATTAACACTGAAATTATTCCTTCTAACATCAATCCCAATCCAGAACATAATAATCCTTCTAATCAGCCAGACAACAATTCAGAAAGCCAAGAAGAATCAATTCCTCAACCTGACCAAGAACCTGAAAACATAACGCCTGAAGAATCTAGAAATGAAACATCAGAAGATCTTGACGGAGAGCCCTCCGGACAGGATGGTCCTGATGTGTCAGACCCAATGCTCCTGACGTGCCACGAACTCGAAAATGCCTTTTCCTGTGCGGATGCCGGAAACCTGGCATGGTCCTGTGAATTCGACATGAGGCTGGAGGCTCCCCTGGAGACACACATGCCATCAGAAGAGGAGTCCTGGTTGCTTTTAGCCACCGCATCCAAGAAACAAAGATCAGAAGTCAAACTGTCGAATTTATCAGATGCCGAACTCAAGGAGTTTCAAAGCGCGAAACAAGCCGAAGTAGAGAACTGGATCAAAACCGGAACCATCAGTGCAATTCTCAGAAATCAGATTCCTGAAGAACAAATTTTGAGATGTAGATGGATACTAACCTGGAAACCTCTGGACAGCGCCAATCAGGGAGGAGAACATGGATCAGGTAAATCCCACAAGGCAAAGGCCAGACTTGTGGTATTAGGATACTTAGATCCCCAGTTAGAAGAGGTCCCCAGGGATAGCCCTACACTCAATAAAACTTCAAGGATGATTGTACTTCAAACTATTGCTTCCCATTCTTGGAAAATGAGATCTTTTGATATAAAGGCAGCATTCCTCCAAGGCCGTCCACAGGCCGACAGAATTATAGCAATAGAACCGGTAGCTGAACTGAGAAGAGCCATGGATCTAGGTCCCCAGCAGATCTGCCGTTTAAACAAAGGAGCCTATGGCCTGATCGATGCTCCATACCTGTGGTATTGCGCATTGGTCACCGAGTTGCAGAAACTAGGCTTTGAAGCCTGCCCATTCGATCCCTGCTGCTTCGTACTCCGAACACCGGCGACAGCAACTCAGCCGAGTAAGCTGGAGGGTATCTTGGGCATCCATGTGGATGATGGAATTGGAGGAGGGAGTCCAGTTTTTGAAGCAGCCATTCAACAACTCGAAAAGACTTTTCCTTTTGGATCCCACAAAGTATCAGCCTTTACTTTCACCGGCATTGAACTCAATCAACATCATGACCATAGCATCACCATGAACCAATCCTCCTATGTCAGAAAAATAAGTCCAATTGCAATTGAAGCCAATAGAAAATCCCAACTTGAATCACCCGTCACGGAAAAAGAAAGACTAGCCCTAAGGGGTTTAGTAGGAAGTTTACAATATGCAGCAATCAATACCAGACCTGACTTATCCAGCAAACTTTCATTTCTTCAATCCACCATCAACCATGCGAAGATCGAAAACTTGATGGAAGCCAATCGACTCCTTCACGAAGCAAAACGCCACCATGATGTTACCATAACTATCAAACCAATTCCATACAACGACTTCAGATTCCTTGCATTTTCGGATGCTTCATTTTCATCAGCCACCAAACCAGACTCACATGCAGGTTCCATCATAGTTGGTACACACCGAGACATCAGTAACAACTGTCAATGTCCAATAAGTCCGTTGACATGGGGCTGCAGAAAGATACAAAAGGTGGTAACCAGTACTCTATCTGCGGAAACGATGGCATTGTCATCGGCCCTCGATCAGCTTGGCTGGCTACGACTTTTTTGGAGCTGGATTCATGATCCTACCGTACAATGGAAGAAACCAGAAGATGCCTTGATGAAGCTAGCACCGGCCATCACTGTTCCCACAAAACATGAAGAAACAGACCTGACTATCACGGACTGCAAGAGCTTGTACGACATGATCACAAGGACGGCACCACCATCATGTTCAGAGTTCAGAGTCCAGCTGATGGCAAGGGCAATTAAGGAATCACTACGTGAGGGAACGACTTTAAGATGGGTACCGAGTGGAGCACAACTGGCAGATTCTCTCACCAAATCGATGGAGTCTCACTTTCTTAGAGAAACTTTGAAATTCGGATTCTACAAGCTGTGTGACGAGGCATCAACTCTCAAAGAAAGAGCCAAAACCAAGGATAGATTGAGATGGCTCCGAACGCAACCTGAATCACATTCGAATAAAATATAATTTTTGACGAGTGTTATTAGGATTCAGTTTGCTTCACTTAGGACTCTTCAACCAACTTCCCAGGTGTTTGGCACTTCGTTTTCCAACCAGCTGCATGTCTTTGCAGCATCGCAGGCTCAGGAGGGGCCTCAGGCAGTGGGCGGGTAGGGATCAGCCGATCCTTGAAGCCATTGGAGTTTTGCTACGGTTTGCAGAGACAGGGATCCTGCAGTGGAAGAACGTGGCCGTTCTTTTTCCTTTCAACCGTTGGTCGTGTCTTTCGAGACTACTGTGTGCAGCGCTTTGCTAAAACAGAGAGTTGCCGCTGGAACAGCTGCTTGGGATCATCCAACTGGAAGTATCAGATCAGGGTGTTTGAGGTTTTCCATTATTGGATTGGCAGTGCAGTTTTCCGTTGAGAAGGGGCCCGTGCCAATTACAATATATATATACATATATGTTTAGATGTGAAGGTGTATATTAAATCTCATTTTGTATAGGTGTATATTCAACCTCATTTTCCGATGTTCAAGGACTATTTTGGGGTAGCCATTTTCAGACACACCCATTTGTTGGTCATCATCCCAGCAGCAGTTGTCTCTCCCAAGTCTAACTCATCAAACCAGGAAGCCATGCCATGGAAGCCTTAAAATGGCACCAACCAAAAGAAAATATAGGAATGTTCCACAGATTCCAGGGCCTGTTTGGGGATTCCATCATGCTTTGCAAATATATATATATATATACATATATATATACATATATATACATATATACATATATATATATACATATGTATATATATAAGTTGTGACTCTCCCACTTAGTTGGCTACTTGGTGGATCATCCCTCTTACTAAGTAGGTTATAACCCCAGTTACGAGTGGATTAACCCGACTTATCCCACTTATAACCAGGGATATAACCTACTTACTAAGTGGGATGATCCACCAAGTAGTAAGTATGTTAAGGAAACTCCCGTCAGGTGCCTCTGAGTGCGGGTGCACCTGGGAGATGACTTCCATGCTGAAACCCACGAAGACTTCGGAGAGTGATAAGAAAGGCCTCCTTTTCTGGGAACTGGGCATTCCCCAAATGGCTATGGACCACAGATTGACTTGTCTATTCTTAGTATTTACCATCCGAGAGGCTACTCAATTTTGACCACCCAAATCACAGAACTCTTGGGGGTGCACCACATCGTGCACAGAACCGGAGATGTTTCAAGCAACTTAGCTCCAAACAAGAAAGACCAAGTAAGCAGCTGAAAAAAAAAATGCCGGTTGATTTGAAGGTTACTTTCCAAGCAGTGACTGAGGTCCTGACATTTTTCTCTCCACTCTCCTTGGACGAAGATTGTCCAGGGGGCTGTGGTGGCACTTGCTGTGTGGCCGTGCTTTTCGTCTCTTGGACAATGGAGTAAAACCTCACCAAAATTGGGGGAACCGTTGGCATGACGACAGGACGACAGCAACAAATTCCGGGGAGCCTTTCCAAGTGAAAACGTGCATCTGATATCACCCTGCCTCAGACTCAGAGTTGTCTGCCTCGGTGGTATCATATTATGAAAACATGAAAACGTTGACCGTTATGATTTGGGAAAGATATTGTTATTGCTAGTGTTATCATCACTGCTATTGTCATAATGATTATTCTTATTGTTATTATGTTATCGGTGTCTTACATAATAAGTTATTATGACGGTCAAGGAGTAGAAGTCTTTTCCCATCTCGTCCCATCCCCCTAATCTGAAACAACCCCGTTCTAGGGTCCCAGATAGTTGGCCTGACCCCCTACTGAACCGTGCATTCTGGGGCTGTTTCATATGAATGAGGAAAGGGATGATGTTTCGTTGATGTGGATGTTTTTCATTCACCTCACCAGTAACCCCGCGAAGCTGAAGTTCCCAACCTGTAAGGAAGCTTTCATGTCATCAGTGTCTTCCTGTGTGTGTGTGCTGGTATGTGTCAACATATTTGATGCCAACGTTGCGAGCAGACCAGTTCTGGCAACACAATCTATCCACTGATCGAAATCACACAAGTTAGAGAGGTAAATACATCAGGCTTGGCAGCTAGTGCATGATCCCTAGATGCAATCATCTTGTGTCTTTGCATCTGCAAAGAAGAAGAAATATTCGCTAGGAAAAAATAGGTTCATCGCGCATAACCTACCTAAGTAAGAAAAGTTGAGCCAAAGGACTCTCTTTTGTCAAGTACCTCCCTCTATAGGGCCAAGGTACAGGCCCTAATTCTGCCAACCCCTTTACAACCTTGCTCTCACAACTCTCGACGCCCATATGAATGCCACATGAAAGAATTATGAAGTGCATCATTCCTGGGAATCTGACTGTCGTAGGGGCATCAGCGTCACCAGGCTCTGCATTGTTGTCCCCGGATGTCTCTGGAGCCTCAAAAACTGCAACACCACAGTCCAAAGGCCTCTAGCCATGTACAAGTGAGACTCGTTTCTATTGGGAGGGCGAACTCAACTAGTCAAGCAAGAAGTTGTCAAGGCTTGTGCGAAGCATATCATGGAATGACATGACATGCAACATACACTGAAAATCCTGTGTTCCCATCCTGACACATTGGCATGCTGCCCCTTAACAGGAAGATATGCCAAAGATACAGAAAGGTCGGGGCGAAAGGCAGCATTTTTCCCTTGTCTTATGTTTCATGCCATCAGTGTGCTTGTGTCTGTGACAGAAGCAAAGAAAAGGATTCAATACATGAAGCCTAGACTAGATCTTTGCATCTGCAAAAAAGAAGACAAATCGTGTCCTACACTGCCAACCGTTGTCAGCAGACTCGCAAGTCCAAGTGGGTAATAAGTAGCCCTTAGGGCAGCTTTCGATTTGCGGCCAAGTCTTCAAAAAGGTTCCAAATTCTGCTGACAAGTAAAAATGTTCAGCCGGTATAACCTGTATCTGGAAAGTTGGGCCAAAGGACTCTTTTTTGTCAAGTACCTCTTTCTATAGGGCCAAAGTACAGGCCCTAATTCTGGTACCTCCTTTACAACCTTGCTCTCACAACTCTCGACGCCCATATGAATGCCACATGAAAGAATTATGAAGTGCATCATTCCTGGGAATCTGACTGTCGTAGGGGCATCAGCGTCACCAGGCTCTGCATTGTTGTCCTCGGATATCTCTGGATTTGTTCCCACCCTGACACATTGGTATTCTGCCCCTTAACAGAAAGATATGCCAAAGATACAGAAAGTTTGAGGAAAAGGCATCATCTTTGCTTTGTCTTATGTTTCATGCCATCAGTGTGCTTGTGTCTGTGACAGAAGCAAAGAAAAGAATTCGATACATGAAGCCTAGACTAGATGCAAGTTTAAGCATCGTCTTGTCTCCTTGCATCTGCAAAGAAGAAGAGAAATCATGTCTTACACTGTCAACTGTTGTCAGCAGACTCGCAAATCCAAGTGGGTAGGGCAGCTTTCGATTTGCGGCCAAGTCTTCAAAAGGGTTTCAAATTCTGCTGACAAGTTGACAAGTAAAAATGTTCAGCCGGCATAACCTATATCTGGAAAGTTGGGCCAAAGGACTCTTTTTTGTCAAGTACCTCTTTCTATAGGGCCAAAGTACAGGCCCTAATTCTGTTACCTCCTTTACAACCTTGCTCTCACAACTCTCGACGCCCATATGAATGCCACATGAAAGAATTATGAAGTGCATCATTCCTGGGAATCTGACTGTCGTAGGGGCATCAGCGTCACCAGGCTCTGCATTGTTGTCCCCGGATGTCTCTGGAGCCTCAAAAACTGCAACACCACAGTCCAAAGGCCTCGAGCCATGTACAAGTGAGACTCGTTTCTATTGGGAGGGCGAACTCAACTAGTCAAGCAAGAAGTTGTCAAGGCTTGTGCGAAGCATATCATGGAATGACATGACATGCAACATACACTGAAAATCCTGTGTTCCCATCCTGACACATTGGCATGCTGCCCCTTAACAGGAAGATATGCCAAAGGTACAGAAACGTTAAGGCAAAAGGCAGCATCTTTCCCGTGTCTTATGTTTCATGCCATCAATGTGTTTGTGTCTGTGAAAGAAGCAAAGAAAAGGATTCAATACATGAAGCCTAGACTAGATGCAAGCTGAAGCATTTTCTTGTCTCTTTGCATCTGCAAAGAAGAAGAGAAATCATGTCTTACACTGTCAACTGTTGTCAGCAGACTCGACTCGCAAATCAAAGTGGGTAATACGTAGCCCTAAGGGCAGCTTTCGATTTGTGGCCAAGTCTTCAAAAGGGTTTCAAATTCTGCTGACAAGTTGACAAGTAAAAATGTTCAGCCGGCATAACCTATATCTGGAAAGTTGGGCCAAAGGACTCTTTTTTGTCAAGTACCTCTTTCTATAGGGCCAAAGTACAGGCCCTAATTCTGGTACCTCCTTTACAACCTTGCTCTCACAACTCTCGACGCCCATATGAATGCCACATGAAAGAATTATGAAGTGCATCATTCCTGGGAATCTGACTGTCGTAGGGGCATCAGCGTCACCAGGCTCTGCATTGTTGTCCCCGGATGTCTCTGGAGCCTCAAAAACTGCAACACCACAGTCCAAAGGCCTCTAGCCATGTACAAGTGAGACTCGTTTCTATTGGGAGGGCGAACTCAACTAGTCAAGCAAGAAGTTGTCAAGGTCTGTGCGAAGCATATCATGGAATGACATGACATGCAACATACACTGAAAATCCTGTGTTCCCATCCTGACACATTGGCATTCTGCCCCTTAACAGAAAGATATGCCAAAGATACAGAAAGTTTGAGGAAAAGGCATCATCTTTGCTTTGTCTTATGTTTCATGCCATCAGTGTGCTTGTGTCTGTGACAGAAGCAATGAAAAGAATTCGATACATGAAGCCTAGACTAGATGCAAGTTTAAGCATCGTCTTGTCTCCTTGCATCTGCAAAGAAGAAGAGAAATCATGTCTTACACTGTCAACTGTTGTCAGCAGACTCGACTCGCAAATCAAAGTGGGTAATACGTAGCCCTAAGGGCAGCTTTCGATTTGTGGCCAAGTCTTCAAAAGGGTTTCAAATTCTGCTGACAAGTAAAAATGTTCAGCCGGCATAACCTATATCTGGAAAGTTGGGCCAAAGGACTCTTTTTTGTCAAGTACCTCTTTCTATAGGGCCAAAGTACAGGCCCTAATTCTGGTACCTCCTTTACAACCTTGCTCTCACAACTCTCGACGCCCATATGAATGCCATATGAAGGCCACATGAAAGAATTATGAAGCGCACCATTCCTGGGGGTCTGACTGTCTCGGAGGCATCAGCGTCACCAGGCTCTGCATTGTTGTTCTCGGAAGTCTCCGGAGTTTCGTGGGGAAATGACGCCCATCTCAATTGGCTATGTACCCGCACTGGCCATCCCAAACATTGAAACAATGTATGCTCAGAAATCATGTAACAAAACATACTTTCATTGGTCCATGTCTGTATGTCCGCATGTCTGTAGTTTTGCATGCATATGTATATAATGTGGTGCGATGCGATGCAATGCGATGCAGTGCGATGCAATGCGATGCGATGTTTTGGAATTGTACTATATTGTATTGTCTTTGTGTTGTCTTGCTTTGTCTTGATGTAAATGCTTATGTTCGTGTGCATGGATGTATGTGTGCGTGGACGTATGTGCGTGCATATCTATGTAACATGTAGCCGAAAGAAGTTTAAAAGTCAGACTTCCAACAGTATGAACAGATGAAAAAACAGAGGTGGGAAGAATCAGAGAAGAGAAGAGAAAAAAGAGAAGAGAAGAAGAAAGAAGATCAGAGAAGAGAAAGAGTCAAAAGAAAGGGTCAGAAGAAAGATGATGCAGGCGCGCGAAAAGGTAGAAAAGTCGCGAATCACTGTGTTATTTCCCATGATTTGTGGTTCCTGAGGGTCGAAAAGTATAATAATATATTAGGTTTGCTAAAGCGGCGGGCGCAGGGCCATCTGGGGAGATGAGAGATGAAAAATTGCACGCTGCTGTGGCACGAAGCAGATTTCAAAGTCGAAATGCTAAAAAAAAACACCCCAGGTTCGGACCACTTTTGGCAGCAAAGTGCACGGCATTGTGGCGCGGACATTTCTGCTGAATCTTGACAGATCTTCCTGTTGCCTGCTGCTTGAGTCTGGGCTTCTTTTTCTTCCTATTATAACTTTATAACATTTTTCCCTTGACATCATTGTCTGATGATGCCACTTTCTCTTGATCCGGTTTGCACTTGTCATCTCTGAATCTTGCGCAGGGTTCCCCACATCGACGCCGGGGGCCACTTTATGCGAGTAAACACAAAGTTTCCTGCAGTTTCTAACTTCCAATGCAAGATGCAAGCCTGGATCACCAAACACAACACAGCGCATGGGATCTTGCAAAGATTATTTCCGCGTAGCGTTGACAATGAGGGCCACTTTTGCGCCACCCGAGCGCAAGCCGCGCCCGTCGCACAAACGAGGTTCCCCCCATCAACACCGGAGTCACTTTATGCGAGAAAACCAAGGGTTTCGTGCCATTTCTACCCTCCAAACATCAGCTCCACGAAACGTCAAAGCAGCCATTCCAATGCAAAATGCAATCCTGGATCACCAAACTATATGGCACAGCGCATGGGTCTTGCAAAGATCACCTCCGCGTAGCGCTGACCATGGGGGCCACTTTTGCGCCATCCGAGCGCAAACGGAGCGCGAGCCACACCCGTCGCACAAACGAGGTTCCCCCCATCAACGCCGGGAACCACTTTATGCGAGAAAACACAGGGTTTCGTGCGATTTCTACCCTCCAAGCATGCCCTCGACGAAACGTCCAAGCATCTCTCACATCTCTACTCTCTCTCTCCACATCTCTGCTCTACTCTACTCTCTCCACATCTCTACTCTCTCCACATCCCTACTCTCTCCATATCTCTGCTCTCTCCACATCTCTACTCTCTCCACATCCCTACTCTTTCCACATCCCTACCCCCTTGACATCTCTAATCTCTTCACTCCTCTAACTCGTCACCTCTCTACTCTCTTCACTCCTCAAATCTCTTCACATCCCTACTCTCTTCACTCCTCTAATCTCTTCACATCTGTACTCGCTTCACTCCTCTAATCTCTTCACCTCCCTATTTTCTTCACATCCCTACTCTGATCACTCCTCTAATCTCGTCACAAACTCACTGTCCGTATAACGGAAGCTTAGACTTCTAAATTTCCTTTGGCAAGTACCACTGCAACTACGACTACAGCCACAACTATTACACTACAACTACAACTTTAACTTCAACATTACAACTTTTCAACTACACAACTACTACAGGTACAACTACAAGATAGACAAGACAGACAGATAGACAACTATAACTACAAGTACAACTACAAAGACAGACAGATAGACAGATAAATAGATAGATCGACAAATCTCCAGAGAGACAAATGGACAGAAAGAAAGATCAACAGATAGCCACATGGATGGATAGATGGATAGATAAATAGATAGATGGATGGAAGCATGGATGGATGGATGGAGATAGAGAGATAGAGAGATAGACGGACAGACAGACAGACAGACAGACAGATTAGATTAGATTAGGTTAGGTTAGGTTAGATTAGATTAGGTTAGGTTAGGTTAGATTAGATGAGATGAGATGGGATGAGATTAGATTAGATTAGATAGATAGATAGGTAGATAGGCAGATAGGTAGATAGGTAGATAGGTAGATAGGTAGATAGGTAGATAGGCAGATAGGGAGATGGATGGATGGCTGGATGGATGCATGGATGCATGGATGCATGGATGCATGGATTGGATGAATAAAGACATGGATAGATAGGAGGATGGGCAGCCCGACAATCCAACCATTTGTCGATCCAACAGTGGAGTCGCTCTGCCATCTTTGATTCACAACAACCAAGCTCTCCTATAGGTTTCCGATGTTTGAAGCTTCCGCCAACGCCTGATGCTGTACCACTGGTATATGCAGTGTCATGTATTGTAATGTAATGTGATGCAATGTGATGTAATGTGTGTGTGTAGTGTAATCCAACACAAGCTGTCACAAGCCAATGCAATGCAATGTAATTTATGCGGGAAATTCATCATCCAGGTTTCCTGGAGGGCAGCACCGGCCTCTTTGCTTGGCGCTTCAGTGGATTCAGTGTTCGCTTCCTTCAGAATATCAACGACCTGAGAGGCGAGTGATCTTAGTGATCTTCCGGAGCTGGAGTTTTTTGTGGCTAAAACAATGTCATTTTCGCCACCCAATGACTAGGAATGGTTTATACATGTTTTATACCACCTATAAACATGGTGATGACTGGAAGATGGTTTATAAAGTTTATGATTTATGATTGTTTTACCAAATTTTACCCACATGATTCTCAAACCGACTTTTCAAGCGACATCTTTGCTCACTTCACTCTCCACACTGTCAGAACCCTTGCTGGCTGTCGCAGCCTGGCGCGAGATTTTTCGCCAGCAATGGGCCGACAATGGAGACCCACACCAGCCATGACAATATATGGTAACCCCCAATAGCTGGATGGTTTATTTCATGGAAAAACCGAAAATAAAGTTGATGATTTGGGGGGTTTCCCCTATGACTTAAGAAACCTCCATGATTCTTCAGTAGAAGAATGTCTAGACTCTGGTCGACTGATCAGGATGATAGTTTTTATCCACAGGGGGAATCACTCCAATGAATCTGAAAACCAATGACATGATTTCTGGCTGAATTGTACGTAGATATTCACCAACCTGATTCCCCATAGGGGGAAAAAAAAAACATCCTTCCAGTGACGTCACAGAGAGGTCATTATAATCCATCCAGAAATAATATATGTATATATATATATAGGGTGGATTTTCCAGGACATCCCCATGAATATGTCATTGATATGCCATAACATCTCCGGCGTTCACCCCGCTTGATTCATCCACGGGCCTTTGGATTCGGATCAGGGTCGAGCGCACTTCCGGTCCCATTGGCTATGCCAAGCTCCTGCGACGTGACAACGACCCATGGACCCATGGATCCATGGACCCATGGATCATCCTGGAGGATCCCTGGAATACAGCGCCCGTTGACATGCGACGTGCCGTTTCCTGCAAAGCAGCCATGACCTCATTCACAGTGATATCATCAGAACTCACCTCCGGTGGCAGGGGTCACTTTGGGAAAAAAGTAAGCCACCAGCACTACACATATACACAATTCACCACGTTTGGTATTGATTAATAAAAATCGCCAATTCTGCAGCACTTTGGCCGCTTCATCGCCTCCTCCAAAGCAAGTCGACCTCGGCCTGGCGTCGATGTCCCTAGCTACAGCTATGGTCCAGTGAGTACAGTGGGTTTTTCGTAGGTACAGTAGGTACGTCTAGGAAGGTAGAAAGGTAGAAAGGTGGTAGGGAGGTACTATGTAGAAATATGTAGAAATATGTAGAAATATGTAGAAATATGTAGAAATATGTAGAAATATGTAGAAATATGTAGAATACATGGGCCTAAAGATGTACAGCCTTTTTGTGTTTCCCTGTGTATAGACATAGGTGGTATAGACATATTTTGTTTTCGACACACCTGTTGAGACTCGACACATTCATCCCATTCAGGTCATGGGGGTCCCTAAGTCACCCATCGATTTAGGCTGGAAAATCCCCTGCTGATTTTCCCATCGATTCAATGGATTGGTTTAGTCGGGAAAATCGAAGCCGGAAACCATGGTTTTACTCTCAAATCTAAGGGTTTCCTGTAAATTTTCCCATGATCCAATTCTATGATCGATGATTTTCCCAGACTTCGGAAACCGCAGCGCCTCGGGTGAACGCACCACTCTCGAAGAAGCTGCGCTCCGCCATGGCCTCGGGTTCTCCACTCCCATCGAAATCTGGGGGATGGCACCCAAAAAATGGCTGGTTTATGGATGTTTACTTCTCCAAATATGTCATTTCATAGGTTTTGACCTATCCCCATATTCGAATTGAATTAATTAAGCTATTAATTAATAAATTATACTAAATTATCATAAAAGTATTCAAAATTCCAAGGACATCCGAAATATTTGTTACAGCACAAAACTGAAAAAAAAATGCCATCATGACCCGATCAACACTGAATCGAAGGCCGAATGATTGATCCGGAGGATGGCCCAAGAGATTGGCTACGGCTACAGCAGCTGCAGGTCTCCCATGTGTCGAAAAACGAATTCATCAAAATTCAAAACGCTGGAATCCAGTATCCCGAAAGAAACCAATGTGCCTACAATGGCTAAATTTTCAAAATGCGAGGCATTATCTGAAGGCCCTGAGGGACCCAGCGCACAGTGCCAATAGAACTGGCAAGACATTGGCTGAACCACTTTTGGGTGTCAACAGTTTTAAAGGTGTCCTAACTCGATAAACACATTGAAATTGCTGGCCGTCTTAGGTTTAGGATTCCTTCTGTTGTCTCTTGTTGTCTCACAACCGATTACCACGGATTGGAGTACCAATCAAATATGGCCCCATCAATGAGCATGGGTCAGTGCAAACCATGCATGACGGTCCCTTTTTGGGAAACCATGGCATGTTGTACCCAACTCCCACAGCACATGCCATGGTCAAACCGATGACCCATCTGACCCATGGCCCCGGCGCAATGATTCCTGAATTGATCACCGACCTACAGTACCTCACCCTCACAATTGAATGTTCACAGAAAATGTGTAGGAAATGCCCTGCAAAGATTCATTTGTTTCCCAAAAATGCATGTTTGAAGAGTTTCAAATCCCACTTCAACAGAAAATTCGTGCGATTTTTCAAAATTGCAGGTCGAAAATGATGACCTGCGAATGTTGACCAAGTCAACATTAACTCCCCGCGCCTCTCAAAAAGTGTGACAACATGGATTCATCACCTGACCAGAGTGCACAAGTGGAAATTCAAGCATTGAAGAACGGAACCACAAACAAAACATGTCAATACATCTACATGACCATGAACTGTAATTGTTTTGTTGGGCAGTTCTGTCCACAAACCAACCAACCAACGACCCCCGCCTGGGTTAATACCAAGGTAAAAAGGCCTAACACAAACTGTGAGCCACAGACCGAAGTTGGAATTTGGACTCTGTGAAACTTAATGTTTTTGGTAGTCCCAAACAGGTGCACAACAATATGCAATTGGGAATGAAAAAAAATGATATTTCACATGCATTGTTGTGGATGGTTTTTGGGTCCGAAACCAAAACACAATCAAGTAAAAAAATGATCTGGCACAACCGTGTTTTTCATTCCTTGTTTGTCAAATTTCGTACAGTAATTTTTTTAAAAAAGACCGCCATTTTTTCAACCACCACTTGCCGCCATTTGGCCAAAGTGAACGGTAGTGGATACGTTCCAAGCGGCAATATTTTTAATTGTCGATTCTGGCAGCCGGACATTGGGCTGAGCGGACTGACGGCAAGAAAAACCTGTTTAAGAGGGGAAAAAAACCTGCCAATGATGATACTCTCTTTTAGGGAGCAAACCTTGACAAACATTATCCAAGGGGTAACGAATCACTTGACGTGGGAAAAGGATGGAAAAGGAACCTGCACACCCCCCGCCAGGCGTGCAGAGACCTTGCCACAAGAAGCACACAGCCAAAGAAACTTACCCCAAGGTCTAGGGAAACAACACTGCTACCGGCACTGGGCACAGGCGATGCAACAGCAGCAGGCGCAGCCGCGAAGCATCAGCGCGGAAAACACCGGCATTGCAACTGCTCCGCTGCACAGCTGCCGCGTGAAGGCACGCGTGGTCAAAAGGCACAAGGAGCGCAAACCGTACGCGTAGGCAACCTTAGACACACGTGGCCATAAAGGCTGCCCCGACCTCAGTGAAGGAAGAGGCTGAAAGGCTCCACTGTTGCCTCTGTTGCTGCAAATCAATGCTAATGCGTTCCTGCAGCTGTTGCCAGGTTTGTCCTGTGGGAAGGTTTTCAAGGGAATCAACTAGCTTAGCCAATGATTGGAGGAGTGTAGCAGTTTCCCCCCCGAAGCCACCAGTACTTTCGAGAATCATAGGTTCAAACCCCAAATTCTGCCGGGCACATCTTTGTTGCATGTCAGCGTGGTGTCGCTTGAGGTCTGTGTACCGGTCGGCCGCTGGCAACGGGATGGAGGCTGAGGGCCGCATCACCGAGTTCTGAAACGGGGATGGCACAGCCCAATGCAAGTTTAGGGAACCTTCTTTCTCCATGAAGATTGTTGAATATCAGGAAACAAAATGAGCAACACATCCGCGGGTCGAGCTTGGGGTAAGTCAGGAAGGAAATTGGGGGGTTCCAGGGCAGGCCGGGCGCCGGCACGTGCCGCCAAACGGCAAACCACATTTCTGAATGAGGTGTGCATGACTTGTTTGTGCCCTTGTCCCATACAATTCATACAATGGTGACCATACGCGTCCAAAATATTTTGACACAAAGAACAAGCCCGGCAGCCCGGCCGTCCTCAAACACCCGAATTCCCAACCGCATAGAAAGGCTATCTCGAAATGCAGCGTTGGAAAGAAGAGTGTCTTGATTCCAGCTAGGAATGGTTTGCAACCAAGAATCTGCTGAAGGGGCTGCAACCGCAGTCAACCTGGCCTGTCCAACCCGACCCTGTTGTTGCACTAACCCTGAATACACTTGGTGACGAAGACGTTGCAACATGGTTTTGTGATCAATTTGAGCATGGGGGTCCTGCAAAACATTACCAAGTTCAGGTAAACAAGCAGTCAAGTGGCGCACTGCCGGTCCCTCGCAATCGTGCAAGTTGGGGGTGGGTTGGGGGCTGAACAGCTGTTGGATAGAAATAGAAGGGCCACAGCGCCTGTGCGATGCCAGAAAGCCAACATCAGCCAAAGAAACAACATTTATTTGTTTCTCGAGGAAACCGGTTGGGTTGGAAGTTTCCACCTTGAACCTGAAACCTTATCGTTTATTTGCAGTAAACGTTTCATGTAAAATAGATATATATATATATATATAGACATATATATATATATTACATGCATGAAAACGTCGCACGTGATTCTTTCGCCAAACATTTCTTCTTCAGAAACTTTGGTCGCCGAAAAACATCACAGAAAAATTGTTCCTTCTCTCCATTGGATCCAAAAACAAAAATCTGTTCACGCAATCAATCATGTCAACTGTCGGTCTCTTCAAAAATTGGAACATGAGAGCAGTGGGGAAAGTACGATCCCGCTCAACCGTCAAACGGCTGAGGGGTAGGCTCCTTAAAATCTCGTGTTGAAACCTTCCTTGCGCAAAGCATCCAAGGTTTCAATGAAAAAAATTGGGGCGGGAAATACTAAGGTTTGGGCGGGTAAAAATTCACAACCACTCAAAAGTGAAGTGAAAAACACACCTCACCCACCCTGGTTTGAGGCGTGCACGCACATAAATATTATTTATGTCGCCAATGCCAAGTTGTTTCGAAAGTTTGCGTTTGCAACTTCAAAACTTCACAAACCACAAAACCTGGAGCCTTTCTTGTTTGTGTGAAAACTGAAAAGCAATTCTATTTCAAAAATAAAACATTATTGTTTTCACATTCCTTTTTTTTACTGACTTAAGCGTAAGGTGAAAAAACAGGTCACAGAAACAAAAAACCCAACCTAATTTTGTCACTACAATTTTTTTCCTCGTCAATACAAATAAGGGGATCATCATATCTTTGAAATGAGTTGCTGCCCTATTTGTTTCTCGAGGAAACCGGTTGGGTTGGAAATTTCCACCTTGAAGCTGAAACCTTATCGCTTATTTGCAGTAAACGTTTCATGTAATATACATACGTGAAAACGTCGCGCGTGATTCTTTCGCCAAACATTTCTTCTTCAGAAACTTTGGTCGCCGAAAAACATCACAGAAAAATTGTTCCTTCTCTCCACTGGATCCAAAAACAAAAATCTGTTCACGCAATCAATCATGTCAACTGTCGGTCTCTTCAAAAATTGGAACATGCGGCAACACGTCAATTGGAAGCACTCTTTTTTCAAACGGAGCAGTGGGGAAAGTACGATCCCGCTCAACCGTCACCCTACTCATCAGATCTGTGTTTCTGGATCTGCTCTCAGAGTCTTTCCCAATTGACTGAGCGCCTTCAGGGTCCAGTTCTGTCGCGTCAAGTCTGCTGGGCTGTGCTCGTTGGAACTCTCGCAAACCAAACTTTCAGTTGACATTTCATCTCACGGACGGTGAAAGTTCTCACCAGCCAACTGCCAGTGTCGCTGGGGCTCGAACCAGCAATGAGCGATCCCCTGGCCGCTTCATTGTGCCAAAGATATTCAATTGGATGATATGACTTTGCAGGTGTTTTTTGACCTTGAAGGAGGAACCTTCCAGCTGAATCCATGTCGTTACATTTGAACTCAGAGGTGACAGAAATGCTAAGGATCAACTTTGCTCTTCCCCCGCATTTGGAGTGGTGTTAGACTTGGCTCCTGAAAGTGAAGCAGGGGTCACCAACAGGTTTCTCACCATAGGACATACTGAGACCAGAGTCGTGGAGCTCACGGTCGATAGAAGCCATTTTGGAGCGAGACGCGATGTCCCAACAAAGACGCAGAGCGGTTGAGAGGCAGACTCCAATGGTTCGAAACTTTTTCGCATGGTAGAGTGGCTCAACAAACTCTGAGAGTGGTGAGCAGCATGGCTTCGGTTGGGACCAGGAAACGTGAAGTTTTGGGAGCAAAAGAAATCAGAGCTTTGAAATTTTTACGGAGCCGAATCTTACAGCTGCCCACGAAAGTCATGTCCACCAGTCTACAAACTTGGTATGTGTTTACTTTTTTTGTTTTTTTTCCTCTGGTATGGCCGATCACGCTCTAAGGCTCGGTCCTTACATGAGAAGAAGCTGTTGGTAAGAAAACTGTTACATGGACACATGGACGCCGATGGTCACATGCAGCTTGGCAAATCAAACAAACCAAAACACAACCCACAAACACAAGGCAAGCCGCAGATCCCCCAGCCTGATTTGCGTCTCACCATCCGAAAGACAGCAAAGCAAACAGCCAACGGGGCGAGAGCCCAACAAGAAAAACCACAAAAGATTTGCCAAGGACACAGTGGAAACAACCCACTGTGTCGCAATAAACTCAAAAACATGCAACAAACGAATTAGTATCCACCCAGAAACGTGAAACAAGCGAACTACGTTGTTGCCAAGAGAACAACAAAAGTCGCGTTTACTATACACTGTTGACTAACCCAGCCTCTCAGAGTCCACTCACGAGTACTTGTTCACGTGCCCAAGTTCAGAGAAAGAGCAAGTACCAGAGGGCGTAAGCACGAGCAGGAGGAGATGACATTGGTGGCCAGGTGTCTTGTGCCCCCCCCCTTTGCGGGGAGCGGCCCAGTGGCAACGACAGCGCGGTCACACTGCTGGTGAGTGACCATCCGTAACCAGCCACTAAAAACTTATGCGTCTCAGGGTGGATATGACTACCGTGCCAAGTCAAGAAGAATACCGTTCCAGGCACTATCAAGCATGGTCAGCACCTGGTTGTTGTGCCTACCGACATGCTTGCAGCAGCTATAGACTCATCATCAGGATATGCATTGTTTCGACGGCGCCAAACTGAAAAGTATCTGCAGAACTGTTCAGGTGCTCCCAGAGTGTCTTCGTCTCAGCAAAGTACCTGCAGTGCATTGCGACATAGAAAAATCCGAGGGTCAGCCTGAAATCCAGAATAAAGACCACTCTCCCGACGTGTGGGCCAGCTGATTAACCGCTGATCCGAGAAAGAAACTCAAAATCCATGTGCGCAGGCTTTGCTGCTCACGGGCGCTCCAGACTGTCCAGCAGAGAGTGCCACTGGTTCGCACCAGTGTAACTCGCTGCAGTGCAGCCTGGTCCATGGCTCCGGCCGGCTACAACCTACTCCCCTTACAGAATAGGAGGAAAGTGCCAGAGGGACCAAGCAGCAGAACAGCCAAGCCGAAACAACAACACAAACGAATTAAGAGAAGAACCAACCCCCAATAAATAAAGGAGAGAGGGAGGAAGTCAAAGTGGCGGGTGTGTGTGTATTGTTGGGGTCGACAGTCCTCAGC